AACACTGTAGCAAGCTGGAGACAGAGATGTTGGCCAGGGAGCAAGGTGGTGCATTGAAGTAGCAGGCAAAATACCTTCCAGGTGAAGCAACACTTCACCTGCACTTCCAAGAATCTAGTCTACTGCATTCGCTGCTCACATGTGGTCTCCTCTATGTTGGGGAAACGAAGCGTAGACTTGGCGACTGCTTCGCAGAACATCTACGTTCTGCTCGCAAAAAAGACCCTGAACTACCTGTTGCCTGCCACTTCAATGCACCACCCTGCTCCCTGGCCAACATCTCTGTCTCCGGCTTGCTACAGTGTTCCAGCGAAGCCCAGTGCAAGCTGAAGGAACAACACCTCATTTTCCGCTTGGGGACCCTACAGCCCTCCGGACTCAATATTGAGTTCGATAATTTTAGGGCCTAAACTCTCCCATGTCCCAACCCCCCACCCCACACACCAGGCCTTGTTACCACATAGCCTGCCACTACACACCCCGTTGTTAGTCACTAACAGTCCCCATTAACAACTATTCACCCTCCCAGCCCAATCGTTAGCAACTCCTTTGTCTGTCCATCCGTCTTTCTCTCTCTTTGGGCTCTATCCTATCGTTTACTCCCTACCCCATCCACCTCCCTATTTTCCCAGCCACCATCAGTTCTGAGGAAAGGTCACCGGACCTGAAACGTTAACTCTGTTTTCTCCTTCACAGATGCTGCCAGACCTGCTGAGCTTTTCCAGCAACTTCGTTTTTGTCCATCTTCTCTCCCATCTACCTGCCCCTCTCATGTCACTGAGCAATCCCCACCACTCCCTACCTGCACTCACCTATCACCATCCCACCTACTTTTCCCAGCCCCACCCTTCCTCTCTCTACTTATTTTTGAGCTCCCTTCCCCCTTTCTGAAGAAGGGTCCTGACCTGACACATCAACTTTTCTGATGCTGCCTGGCCTGCTGTGTTCCTCCAGCTCTATACGGTGTTATCTCTGACTCCAGCATCTGCAGTTCTTACTATCTCCAATTAAAGTAGGATTTGTTTGCTGGTTCGATTGTAATGGTAGAGTGATGACTTTGCTGGCCCATAAGTATACAATTTGTGGCAGGCTGCTTATGGTTCACAAGGCCTCCTCCATGCCCTGTTCTGAGCTGCTATGTCTGTATCCCATTTAGCACAGTGGTATGTCGTACAACGCATTTTATGTCATTAGTGTAAAGATGAGGCTTCAACTCCATTACGGCTACAAAATGGTTAGTTAATAGTCACAGTAGTAGAGCATGGAAACAGGCCCTTCGGCCAAAACTAGTCCATGCTACCATTACTGTAACAGGTAATTTGTTCAGACTTCAGCCAAGGTGGCTTTTCCCCTTTTTTATTGTTCTCTCACTGCATGCCACACATCCAGTCAGGTAGATTAATCCTTCAGGGCTTGATCAACCCAGCATTAGTGGTATTGAGCCACTCTTGGTAATGCACATTGAAGTCCCCCACTCAGAAAACATTCCCTGCCCTTCCTAACCTCAAGTACTTCTTCCAAGTGGTATTTAACACAGAGAAGCAGTACAATCCAGTAATTTCATTATCATTCTTGAGACTAGCATTTTATTCCAGATTTACTTCTTGGATCAATCTCTTTATTGAATAAAACTTGACTGTGTGCTAACGTTCCTGTGAAATTCCTTGGGAGGTTTTATTCCCAAAGTATTAATTAAATGATAGGTATGAGCATTGCTCCTTTGAAACAAAAGAAATTGAAATGCAATTATTATGATTATATAGAGAAATACAGAAGTTAATAAATTACAGAAATATACTGATAACAGTGAAAATAAGGCAGAAAATATGTCAAAAATACTGTAGTGATTTGTACTGGACTGAACTAAATCCTCAACATTAATTTTGAGAACAATTTGTCAAAATGCTATCAGAAATGATAAAGTTGAAGCATTTTGTTGTGTTCATTATGAAGAATGACATTTGCATCGTAGAAGTAAACAATCATTGAGCACATAGATTCAAGGTATAGCTCTCCGCATAGCTCTCCGCTATTTGTCAGTTGAACTTGTAAATACAGCACTGACATGTAGCATACAAGTTGTTAAAGTATAGTGAGTTTAATAGTGCTGGCCATGGTTGAGTGATACAGATAAAGTTCTTAAATCACCAGTGATATCAATCTATACTCACATGGAATTTACAGAAGGTCAAATAACGGTGGTAACCCACAATGCCCATCCAATTGGTCCAAATAGTTAGTTTTAAAGAAGTGTGAATTCACAAAGAATCATTTACCTCTCCAATTCAGATTACAAACATAGCAGCAGGAAGTAGACAATTTGACGTTTAAACCTGATCATTCATTAAAATCACAGATGATCCATTATTGTTTCCAATTCAACATTCCTATCTACTCCAATCATCTTCGATTCCCTTCCTAAACAAAAATCTAACTACCTCTGCCTTAAAAATATTCAATGACTCCACTTCTTGCAGAGCAAATTGAAATGATTATGATATAGCTGTGACTATAGAGAAACAGCTGCAGGGTAACCAAAGATGTGAACTGAATATCCATGGTATTCATTTAGAAAGGTCAGACGAAAAGGGAAAGGAAGTGAGGTAGCATTGTTAATACAGGAGCTTTCAGTACAATTCCTAGGAAGGGATATTGGCACGAAAAATCATAATGTGGAATCTATATGGCTGACATGAGAAACAACAAGGGACAGGAAACATTGTTGGGATTGCCTTAAGGCCTCGAGTCAACCGTGAAGATACAAGGGAAGGAATTAAACAAGAAACAAGAAACCAGAGATGCGTGCAGCATGAGTACAGTCATACTTAGGGAGGATATTCTTGGAAATACATCCAGTGAAGTTATTTGGGCGGAACTGAGAAATAAGAAAGAGATGATCACCTTATTGGGATTCTACTATAGACCACCTAATAGCAGGAAATTGAGAAACAAATTTGAGAGGACATTTCAGTTATCTGTCAGAGTCATGGGGTGGTTATGGTAGAGGATTTTAACTTTCCAAACATTGACTGGGACTGCCATATTGTTAAGGGCTCAGATGGAGAGGACTTTGTTGAGTGTGTACAAGAACATTTTCTGCTTCAGTGTGTGATGTACCTATTAGAGATGATGCAAAACCTGACCTACTCTTGGGAAATAAGGCACAGCAGGTGCCTGAGGTGTCAGTGGGGGAGCACTTTGAGGCCAGTGACCATAATTCTATTAGTTTTAAAATATAGATGGAAAAGGATAGACTGGATCTAAAAGTTCTGAATTGAAGGAAAGCCAATTTTGAAGGTATTAGGCAAGAACTTTTAGAAGTTGATCGGGGATGGATGTTTGCAGGTAAAGGGATGGCTGGAAAATGGGAAGCCTTCAAAAATGAGATAATGAGAGTCCAGATACAGTATGTTCCTGTTAGGGTGAAGGCAAGGCTGGTAGGTGTAGGGAATGCTGGATGACTAGAGAAATTGAGGATTTGGTTAAGAATAAGGAAGCATATATCAGGTATAGACAGCAGAGATTGAGTGAATCCCTAGAACAGTATAATGGTAGTAGGAGTATACTTAATACGGAAATCAGAAGGGCAAGAAGGAGACAAGAGATAGCTTTGGCAAACACGGTTATGGAGAATCCAAAGGGATTTTACAAATACATTAAAGACAAAAGGGTAACTAGGGAGAGAATAGGGCCCGTTAAAGATCAGCAAGGCCGCCTATATGTGGAATTGCAGGAGGTGGAGGATATACTAAATGAGTATTTTGCGTCAGTGTTTACTGTAGAGAAGAATATGGAAGATATAGAATGTGGGGAAATAAATAGCGACATTGTGAAAAACGTCCATATTACAAAGGAAGTGGTACTGGATGTCTTAAAACGCACAAAAGGTGGATAAATCCCTGGGACCTGATCAGGTGTCCCCCTAGAATTCTGTGGGAAGCTAGGTAAGTGATTGCTGGGCCTCTTGCTGAGATATTTGTATCATCAATAGCCATAGGTGAGGTGCTGGAAGACTGGAGGGTGGCTAATGTGGTGCCACTATTTAAGAAAAGTAGTGAGGAAAAGCCAGGGAACTACAGATCGGTGAGCCTGACATTGGTGGTGGGCCAGTTACTGGAGGGAATCCTGAGGGACAGGATTTACATGTATTTGGAAAAGCAAGGACTGATAAGGGATAGTCAATACGGCTTTGTGCATGGCAAATCGCGTCTCACTAACTAAATTGAGTTTTTTGAAGAAGGAACAAAGAGGATTGATGAGGGCTGAGCGGTGGACGTGATCTATATGGACTCCAGTAAGGTGTTCGACAAGGTTCTTCATGGTAGACCGGTTAGCAAGGTTACAGCACACAGAACAGAGAGAGAACTAGCAATTTGAATACAGAACTGGCTCGAAGGTAGAAGACAGAGGGTGGTGGTGGCGGGTTGCTTTTCAGACTTGAGATCAGCTGTGTGCCATAATGATTGGTGCAGTGTGTCACAAGGATCAGTGCTGGGTCCACTGCTTTTTGTCATTTACTTAAATGATTTGGATGTGAACATAGGAGGTACGGTTAGTAAGTTTGTGGAATACACCAACATTGGATGTGTAGTGGACAGTGAAGGAGGTTACCTCAGAGTACACGGAATCTCGATCAGATGGGCCAGTGGAGTTTAATTTAGATGAATGTGAGGTGCTGCATTTTGGAAAGGCAAATCAGGGCAGGACTTATACACTTATTGGTAAGGTCTTGGGGAGTGAACAGAGACCTTGGAGAGTGCAGGTTCATTGTTCCTTGAAAGTGGAGTTGCGGGTAGATAGGATAAATAGACAAGGTCTTTTCCCTGGGGTGGGACAGTCCAAAACTAGAGGGCATACGTTTAAGGTGAGAGGGGAATGATTTAAAAGGGACCTAAGGGGCAACCTTTTCACACCAGTGGTGTGTGTATGGAACAAGCTGCCAGTAGTAGTAGAGGTGGTACAGATACAACATTTAAAATGCATTTGGATGGGTACTTGAATCGAATGGTTTAGAGGGATATGGGCCAAATACTGGCAAATGGGACTAGATTAATTTAGGATATCTGGTTGGCATGAATGAGTTGTTTCTGTGCTGTACATCCCTCTGACTCTTTAACTGTAATCATGCGTGACTTCAATCTATTTATAGATTGGACAATCCAAACTACCAATGATATTAAGGAGGAGGATTTCCTGCAGCATGTACATGAAGGCTTTGTAGACCAGTACATTGAGGAACCAACCAGAGAACAGGTCATTCTAGACTGACACTGTGCAATGAGAAACGACTGATTAACAATCTTGTTGTGATTCCTTGGGGAAGAGCGCCCATAATAGGAAAGAACTTCTCATTAAGATTGAGAGTCAGTAGTTGAATCCAAAACTAGGATCCTTACGCTGAATAAAAGGGAACTCTGACAATATGAGGCCTGAACTGGCAAGGATGGACTAGGGAACCTTACCAGAGGGTTTGATAGTACGCAGATCTCCTTTCATCCTTCTAAACTCAAGTGAATACAGGCTCAGTCAAACCAATCTCTCCTTGAATGACAGTCCTGCCGCACCAGTACGGTGGCTGGGCAGTAGTACATATTGGAAGAATATTTGTATAAATTAGAATTATTGATTCCTGTTTTGTGCAAATACAAAAGAAGAAAGGTGGTTCAACCTCGGCTGGCAAAAGAAATTAGGAGTGTTTTGAATCCAATGAGGAGACATATAAAACTGCTAGAAGTAGTCTGAAAGTTGGGAGCATTTTAGAGTTCTGCAAAAGAGGACACAAAGTTTGATCGAGAATGAGGAAATAGTAGAGTAAAATGATTGGAAACATAGAAGCTTTTACGGTCAGTTTCTATAATTATGTGAAGAGAACAAAACTAGTAAAGACAAATGTTGCTGCCTGACAGCCAGAAGCTGGGGAAATTATGACAGGAGACAAAGATATGGCAGAATATATTTTGGTTCTGTCTTCACAAAAGACAAATATATATAACTATATAACTATAGTTATATATAAATATATAACTACATATGCAGTGCTATGTCCAACATTGGTCTCCTTGTTAATGATGGATTAATGTATTCAAAATCGTTCAGAGGAGGTTTTTCACTAATATCTGGAATGGGATGGTTGTCTTGAGGCAAGGTTGGACAGGTTAGGCCTGTATCTGGAGTTAGAAGAGTAAGAGATGACATGATTGAAACACAAGATCCTGAGTGATATTAACAAGATGCCCATAGAAAGAATATTTACTTACATGAGAAATACTCGACAACAGGACACTCATTTAAAGATAGAGACGAAGCAACATTGTTTCGTAAAAGGTTAAATATCTTTGGAATGTTCTTGTTAAAAGGCAGTGCAAGCAAAGTCATGGAATATTTTGAAGGCAGAGGTAGATAGATTCTTGAAAAGCAAGGAAGTGAAAGGTGGTCAAGGATAGGTGGAATTGTGGAGTAATCCAATTAGCTATGATCTTACTGAAGGGTATAGCAGGCTTGAGAACCCAAGTGGTCCAATCTTGCTCCTAATACACAAGTTTACATGTAAAGTCATAGAAGAAATATGTATCAAGTCTGGCATCAGGACCCACTGGAGTTATCAGTCAGATAATTCCCTGGTTTAGGGTAAGATATTGAAACGTTATACATTAAATATCATGATGTATTCCAATTCAATTTGAGAAACAGTCAATAGTTTGCAAGCAAATTCTTGCATAATGGAATTCTTTTCAAAATAGCTTTTATTAATGAACTCTAGAGGGCAGAAAAATTTAAAAAAATGAATCACTTTCTTGGATTAGTTTAACAAGGAAAAAAATCCATCAGTGTCAATCCCATCACATTTTCTTTAAAAAAAAATTTGGTACATATTCGAGTACAACGATCTTGTGAGAGCAAGTATTAAATTCACAAGAAAATACTGCTTATTTTAAAGATGCCATTACTTTAACAGGCTTTCCAAGAGCATGGCACAGACATTTTCCTAAAGACTTGTTTTTTTCCCCCCCCAATATACAACAAAAGCATTTCATGAAGTGAATCATTCACTGGTCTATACATAGTGCTTAATTTATATCGTGACAAGGACACTGCATCTAGGTATAGCAGAAATAAGATAAAGTATGGAAAGGGCTCCATACACTCCTTAAGGAAAACACTTAACAGTGCAATTTAAAAAAAATAAATTACATAATGGAGTAAAAGGCATGCAATCTGGCCACTATCAGTACCCCAAAATTAATAAAATAAAGCTTTCATAAATCTGTACAACATTGTAATAACAGAAGATAGCCCCCGTGAAAGATCTTCATTCTTAGGCATTTTGACTTTTTTACTTTCAAAAATATTTTGCTTTTGTAATAGAGTTTTGGAATATAAAGTATTTACACCCTACCTCTGGATAACAAAGAACAGCAGTTAAATAAATCCATAAACAAATCAGATTTTACCATTTCTTTTAAAATATATATAATTTTGAACCTTATTTACAGCTTTTTTGTTTCAATCTATAGGAAAGTAGACAATTCAATTTCTGAAACTTTAACTGAAGACAAACCTTTCTCTTTAGCAAAAAACCCGTTTGGTTTCAATGCTTTGAAATAACTTTTAACAAGCAGCTGAGGGAAATGTAAAAGTCCAGAAGTCTTTGTATGGTCTTTGTAATGGTATGAATGATAGACACAAGTCAAAAGCAGTATTATTTATGTACAACTCACCTGGTTTTCTTTTGCATACTGCATTTGAACTAGCCTTAGGACTACTGTTGACTTCGAAAAAGTAGCTAGTTTGTTCAATTAATTGTAATTGAGTTACATTTTATATTGGATAATAATAAAAAAAACAGATTTACAAGTCATCATCCTGGAGAAATTCTCCATCGTCTCCATCTAAAAGTAAGTCTGTATCCATGACATCCGATTCCTCCATCACATCTTCGAAGTCCTGAATAATGTCATTATCCTCCACTTCCATGTGTCGCTTAACCATACTCATGTGATCTGGATGAAGTAACACAGATACTACTGGTGTAGCAGGTCTGGCTATAGTTGCTATTTCACCAACTTCAAGAGCTTTCTGTGCCTTTTGTCGCTGCTGTTCCTCCTGCTGTTTGTGCGTTTTCATGTGAGCATTTCTACTTTTAATCTTGTAGAACATCCTGAAATATTGAACTGACACTTAAAACCACATATTCTCAGCAAATTATAAGAAAGCAATAGCTATCTGCATGTCTGAAGGAGGCCAAGATAAAATAAAATGAAACTATGTAAAATGAGCAGCTAATTAAAAAATGCAGGTGATTTAAGAGAGAAAAAAGGGTCATCTAACTTACTTTCCACATTCCTTGCATGGGAAAATTGTAGCAGCATCTGTTTCACCACTTGTTGTACTGTGTGCAGGAGAGTTCTTCACAGAGGTGTAACCAGGCTGAAATCCTCCCACTTTATGTTTAGCCGCAGAAGTCAGTTTTGGAGTTTGGTTCGAGCCACCATGAATACGTGCATGGCCGTTTAAAGCCTGCCTGGAGCTGAATGTCTTAAAGGAAAGGGAAGGTGAAAAGATGAGATTGGTTTCACTCATTTACTCACCGTACCAAGTCAAATCAATTCAAAAATACAAAAAAATCTGCAGTAAGCTGTACAACCTTAGTATAAAATGTATTCATTATAGATTTGTTGAGAGGTCCACTGTTACAAATGACACGGATTAACAAAGAGAACAATAATTAGAAATGCAACTGTTTAAAATTTCTCAAAAAAATTAAGAGTGCCCTATTAACTGTATTACATGTTTATTCTACCATATACCATATGTACACTTTTAAATAACATACTTTGTCTAAAAAATAGTTATGATATTTGAGGAGGGAAATGTCTTAAGTGAAGGGAGATTTTTTTCAAACATAAAACCAAATGAGGTCTGCGGTTGTATGTTAACAGCATGTCCCAAATGTTCCTCAGAAATAATGCTCCTACATTGTAAAATTTATAATAAAAATACTTGCAACATTTATATAGCGTTGTTGAATGTCTTCAATAGAACGAACAAACAACTTTTAGATTCCAGTGACGAGTCCATTCCAACTCCATGCTGATAAATTGCAAAGCTGGTCTGGTAATTTCAACATATCATAAGCAACAAATACACGCCAGAAAATTGTGCTAAGACAGTTCCCATAGATTATCTGTTGATCTGCCAATTCACTTGTAGGCAGCTCACAATCTTCCACTTTGTGGCAGTGCTGTTTTAAGGAGATGCACCATTGCCTCTGTAGTGTGCAGTACAACTTACAAAAATCAGTTTTTTTCAAAGCATTGTAGAACACACCATTTCTCACTGAAGCATGACATAATACTTTTCAGACAGCATTCAAATGCATAGTACTGTATTAAGGGGTCTGTTGTCTAAGATTGAAAAGTGCTGCATTAATGGAAGGGTTTTCTACATTTCTCACATGAGCTTTTTGTAAGTACTAATGTTTTATTGGTCTGACCAGCAGATGTTACCATTGTTCCACTTGCCCAAGATTGTACAGGAGTTGCAAAAAAGTGATAATATATTTGAAAGGAATTTTCTCAGCACAATAGAGTGTAACTGCAGTGTTAAATTATTGAGATGTGCAAAACCACCTGATCATGAATTCCAACATTAAATATTTAATGCAAATTTAACATCAGAAAATGGGGGAGATATTCACATTTAGAGTCAGGAGTTTTGTTCTGACAGTTTTGTGCCAGGTTGCATGACCTGATTGACACCATTGAGAGGGGTCCCTCTTGCTCCCTGACCCTTCCCAGTCACCAACTCTCCAGCTTATGGATTACTTACACAACCATGTAACTTGCAGCTGCTGTCACTCTCTCAGCTTGAAGGGCTTAGGTTGCTTCCGGCTTCTGACCACTCATCCTCACAAGAGGTAACTGGTGAGATGGTGAATGGGAGCTAACTAAAAAGAGTTGGCATTTTTCAGAAGTAGATGAAAAATATTTAATATCTTTCATTTACAAATCAAATAATTTAACAGACTTTATAAATAAAGTATGTTTATATTTTGCTGACATTGTGTTGCCTGGAATTCAACACAATACTCGAGTTGGGGCCAACCCAATGTTTTATATAGATTTAGTGTAACACGCTGGTTTTGTACTCTACACCTTTATTTATGAAGACCTGGATCTTATATGTTCTATTAACTGTTTTGCTAACCTGTCCTATCACTTGCAAAAATGTGCTAACTAAAACTTCCAGGAGTCTTTTGTTTTTGCATCCCTTTTAAAATTGTCACATTTAGCACAGCATGTGTTTACTCATCATTCTTTCTATGATAATGCAGCACCTCACTTCCTTGCATTGAAACGCATCTGTTAAAACATTCATTCATTCCACCAAACTGCCTGTCTTCTTGCAGTTTGTTGTCTTTGTCAGTGCTTACTTCCAAGTTAATATATTTCACTAACAGCAGTGGCTGCAGTACTATACCTTGGAGAATGCCTTTATATACTTTCATCCAGTCAGAAAAACAGGCATTTACCAAAACCACTTTCACATCCTGAGCCAATTTTATATCCATACTTCTAATACCCCTTTTATCCTCACAACCCACTTCACCTTCAATCGGCCATATATTTAAATAAATCTACAGAACACCAATGGGATCCCCAATATCAGGACCGATAGTAGAAGTAGTAATGCAGAGAAAACTGGAAGGAAACTGGAATTAAGGTACATGAACACTAACTAGCCACCAAGAAACATGACCAATACTCACTGGTCTCAATACACACAGACAAAGACAGACACAAATTCAACTGGGACAACGCATCCATAATAGCACAAGCCAAACAGAGACGTGCCAGAGAATTACTGGAGGCCTGGCATTCCAACCAGAACTCTGTCAACAAACACATTGAACTGGACTCGATATTCAAACCACTGAAAAACAGAACCGGAAGTAATACCAACAACCCCAGCAAACCAAGGCATCTATATAAGAAGCGGGACAGAACACCAACGCTTCACTGGAGGCATACTGATGATGTTACCTAGCAGGGTGATGAAACATCTGCAATCAAACACACCGGCTCAGCGAGCAAGTCTGCAACCTCATCCATGACCCGAGCTACAAATCTCGGGGCTTCAATTTTTTTAATGAGCCTGTAGTGTTACTTTATCAAACACCTTTTGAATATTTACAACAACTGATTGTCTTCATTCATCCTCCTTGATACCTTAACAAAAAAATCAAGTTTGTCGAATATTATTTGTCCCTTAGCAAATCCCCACTGGTTCTTCTTTACTAGTCCAATTTTGTTCAAATAGCTGGTTATTTTAACCATCCAATTCACACATTATTGAAGGCAAGGTAAGCACTTCGGACGTCCACTTTTCCTCCAGCTTTAGAAGCCATGAGGACTGAATTCTTCACGGTGGACTGTAAAATACTTCATTACAGCATGGGCGGCAAAAGTGGGTAATGTGCCTGACCCCTGAATTCCCCAAACAGGGACAGCCAAAATATTTGGGAACCTCTGACAAAAATTATACCTTTAGCACAGTTTATATGGCCTGCATTCTGTCCAGCAAATCTTGACACCAATAATTGATACTTACCGCACCACAATTTGGCATTTCACACATAAATGTGGGGCCCTGAACACCTGGCTGCTCCACAGTCATCATCTGTAGTGGCAAAGGGGAATTTTCTACCTCTGCATTATCATCTTGATTTGATTTCCTATCTTGTTCCTCTTCATCCTCTAAATCTTCATCTTCATCACTAAACTATAAAAGAAAGTCGAAGTAAGTCGCAGAAGAAAAAGAACGTACAGCACAATCATATTATATCATGTCAGAAATTACACAACACCAGGTTATAGTCCAACAAGTTTATTTGAAGACACAAGCTTTCTGAGTCTCAACTTCTTCAGATGTCAGTGAGAGAGGTGGCATTGGACACAGAATTTATAAGCAAAAGATCAAAGGGTCAGAGAACTGGTGCGGCATTGAACAAACCTAAGATGGCTCTTAAATCTCTAATCAATTAGAAAGGATTAATATGCAAATACCCAAATTTTTTTTCAAGTCACTGTCCCAAGATAACTAAAGGCTTTATCACTACCTTCAGTGTACCAGAGGTGACATCCCAGGTCAGACAACGCATTTTAGGTGTGAGGCCTTGTACAGAAACTGGCTGTGTATCAACTTGGAGTCAGACTGGTTTTATTTCCAAAGTAGGAATATATAAAATGCCACTTTGACGGTCTACAAATTGTGTGTTTTTTCAACAAAATCGAGTGTCTCTGCAAATGCAAATTTCTGTAATTACAAATCTGCAAATCAAATTTTCTTTAGTGATCCTGAGGCAGTGACTTGAAAGAAATTTCGGAATTTGTATATTAATCCTTTCTAACTGTGGATAGTGTAAAGGATAGCTGTAAGCTCCAAAATGATATAGATAGAGTCATAGAGTAATACAGCATGGAAACAGGCCTTTCTGCCCAAACTGGTCCATGCAGACCATTGTGCCCCCTCAGCTGGTTCCAACTGCCCACATTTGGTCCATATTCCTCTAAACTCTTCTCATCCATGTACCTATCCAAATGTTTTTTAAATGTTGCTATTGTACCTGCCTCAACCACTTTCTCCGGCAGCCCATCCCATATATACACCATCAACATTCTCTGCATGAAGAAGTTGCCCCTCAGGTCCTTCTTAAATCGATCTCCTCTCAGCTTAAACCTACGCCCTCTAGTTTTCAATTCCCCATCCCTGGGAAAAAGACTATATGCATTCATCCTATCTATGCCCCTTATGATTTTATACACCTCAATAAGATCACCCCTCATTCTCCTATGTTCCAAGGAATAAAGTCCTATCCTGGCTAACCTCTCCCTATAAACTCAGGCCTACTAGTCCTGGCAACATCCTTGTAAACCGTCTTTGCACACTTTCTAGTTTAACTATGTCTTTCCTGTAACAGGGTGACTAAAACTGTACACAATACTCCAAGTACGGCTTTACCAACAACTTATACAACTGTAACATAACGTCCCAACTCCTATACTCAATACCTCAACCGATGAAGGCCAGCATTCTAGATGCCTTCTTCACCACACTGTGACGCTGCTTTCAATGAACTATGTACTTGTACTCCTAGGTCCCTCTGTTCCACAACATTCCTCAGGATCTTACCATTTAGTGTACAAGTCCTACCTTGGTTTGACTTTCCAAAGTGCAACACCTCACACTTATCTGTATTGAATTGCATTTCCCCATCTGATCAAGATCCCTGTGTAATTTTTGATAACCTTCCTCACTATCAATGGTACCTCCTAATTTTGTATCATCTGCAAACTTATTAATCATGCCTTGTACATTCACACCCAGATCATTTATGTAAATAACAAATACAAAGGTCCCAACACTGACCCGTGGCGCACCACTTGTCACAGGCATCCAATCCGAGAAACCACCCTCAACCATCACCCTCTGCTTCCTACCATCGAGCCAGTTTTGAATCCAATTAACTAGCTCTCCCTGGATCCCACGTCTGACCTTCATGACTAGTCTGCCGTGTGGGCTAAGTATGAGGTAATGCATTTAGCGAGGTCAAAACAGAATACCACAATGAACAGGAATATATTGAGAGGGGCAGCTGAAATGAGAGATCTTGGTGTGCAAGTGCAAAGGTCCCTCAAGGTGGGAGTACAGGATGATAAGGTTTTAAAAGAAGGCATATGAAATGCTATCCTTCAGTGACAGAGATACAGAAAACAAAAGTAGAGATATAATGGTGAAACTTTATAAGACACTGGTGAGGCCACAACTGGAGTATTGTGTGCAGTTCTGTTCACCACATTACAGTAAGGATGTAATTGCTCTGGAGAAGAGCAGATTTACTAGAATGTTATAGATATCATAGAATCTCTACAGTGTGGAAGCAGGCCATTTGGTCGATTGAGTCCGCACCAACATTCCAAACAGTATCCCATCCACACCCATACCCCCGTTCCTGTAATCCTGCATTTTTACTGTGGCTAACCCACCTAACCTGCACTGGACACTACAGAGCAATTTAGCATGGCCAATTCACCTAATGTGCATATTTTTGGTCTGTGGGAGGAAACTACAGCACCCACAACAAACGTATGCAGAGACAGGAAAAACATGCATACTCCACACAGACAGTCACCCGTGGGTGGAATCAAACCAGGGTCCATGCACTGTGAGGCAGCAGTGCCAACCACTGAGCCACCACGCCGCTTGGTAATGTTGCCAGGGCCGGACAATTGTAGCTACAAGGACAGACTGGAGAGGTTGGGATAGCCTTCTCTGTTCCAAGAAAAGCAGAGGGGTGACAAGATTGAGGTATATATAGTTGTGAGGGATAGAGGTAGAAGAGACAGGTGGAATCTGTCTGTCTTGGTACAGCGTTTAAAAAAAAAGGGATTCAAGCAAAAGGATTAGAGAGGACGTCAGGAAAAATTTTTTTTTTTTTTTTTTTTTTTAAAAAGGCAGATGGTGGGGGTTTCTGGAATTCTCCACCATTTCTTCGTTCCACTCACTACTTCTCCAGCCTCATTTTCCAAAAGTCCAATGTTCACTGTTGCCTCTTCCTTATCTTTTAGATATCTAACCAAAAACACTTGCAATCTTTTTTTATATTGCTAGCTAGCTTACCCTCCTATTTCATCTTCTCCTCACTTACTGCTTTTTTTAAAACTTGCCCTCTACTGGCTTTTAAAGGCTTCCCAATCATCTGCACCACACTGTATGCTTTTTCTTTTGTTTTTATGCTGTCCCGGACTTCTCTCGTCAGCCATCCTTATGTTTCATCCTTCCCTCCTTTAGTAGGTTTCTTTTTCCTTGTGATGGATTTCTGCTGTTCCTCCTGAATTACCCCGAAAACTCTGGCCGTTGCTGCTTCATCATCTTCCCTGCTAGGCTTCCCTTTTGGTCAACTGTGTCCAGCTCCTCTTCAGGTCTTTGAAGTTACCTTCACTCCACTGTAATACCATTACATCTGTTTCCAGCTTGTCCCTCTCAAACTGCAGGGTGAATTCTATAATATTATGGTCACTGCCCCCGAAGGGTTCATTCACCTTATGCTCCCTACTGTGTCATTAGAGACCCTGATTAAATCTCATTGCTAAATGTCCGTGTCTAATATGGAGTACAGGGAGGGAAGTTCATTCTTAGCCTTATAAAGGGATTTAAAAGAAAAATCAATGATCAATTAAGAAGGGAGCATTATTGCTTAAAAAGTTGGCATTTCAAGAGTAGCAAACAGCTCTTCAGTTGCTGCTTAGACCTGACAATTTTAGAATTAGAATTGGGTTTTATTGTCACTTTTACTCGAGTACAACAATACAGGAGTACAACGAAACGTGTACAAAATCATCATTTCCGGCACCATCTTAGGTAAAAAGGTACCCAGGTACAAAATCTTGGGTATGAATTAGAAAAATGAATCCCATGATGCAGCATTTCTAAGGTGGTACAAGAATATCAATACTGCTTGACATCTAATAATTGATAAGAAAAATTCATTCAATGTTTGTATTCAGATAACCAATTGGTGGAACTCAATACCACTGTATATATGGGTTAAATAACAGTCAATAAGTCAAACGACATATTTCTGTCATTTAAATATTATTTAATAATTTCACCCATTGACAAATGGTTATGCTGAACACATTTTAAATGTCTCTAATCACTTCTCTTCAAGTCAAGAAGCAAAGATGCATTGGAGCATTGTCTATGAAATAAACTGAGATTATTCAGGTTTATCACCATCAGACAAGCAATACAACAATGACCTGCAATTTGCTGCAATGGCAAATGTAGCTCTGAATATCACAACAGACCAGTCCATGCACTGATCTTCCAGGAACAAGTTTTTATGTTAAAAATTGAGGGATCTTATCAGAGCACAACAATGCTAACTGACAAATGTTTACTACCAATTCCACTCTATTGAGCAGGTTTGCATTATTCAGTCACCAAGTCCCATTTCAAGAATTTATCGGAAATCATTTGCAAGATTATTTATATTGTCTTCTAAAGTTTATCCTGGGTGAAGTATGTGTAGCACATTGTGGTTGCACCTGTCCAAGCAAACAAAAGGTGTTTAAACCTTAATAGTTTTCATACATTGATGGGTAAATTCATTTCAAATTATGTGTTTGGTAGGGAAATACATTTTAAAAAATATCAATACAGGTTTTGTAGGAAGTAACTAGTTACTAATTTCTCAGATATTCCTGCCATTAAATTCATAGCAGGCTCAGCTGCTTGGTACCTAATAGTTGTCTCTTTAAACTATTTAAATTGAAAAATTTTACATTATTTCCTCAACAATATTTACTAACTTACATTATGAAATTGATATGAAATCAAATTTCTTCATCAACAAAGGATCTAAAACAACCAAATATTTCATTTGATGCAGGACGATAAAATTAGACACAGACTGTTAAGGGACCAGATGTCCGTGAATCAATAGAAATATTAAATGGCTTTTAAAAATTCAGTTCCATCTAACAGAAATCTTTGGACCAGCTAGTGTGTGCAAAACATAATTATTGTTGCATTAGCTAAATAAATCGACACAGATCAAAACAAAGACATTTCTGTTCAAGAAAATCAATTGTGGAATGAAAAATAATAGCTGAAGAAGGGTCACCGGACCCGAAAAGTTAACTCTGTGTTCTCCTCCACAGATGCTGCCAGACCTGCTGAGCTTTTCCAGCAACTTTGTTTTTGTTCCTGAAAAATAATAGCACTTGGTCACCAGTGCAATTCTGGTTCAGTCTATAAGAGAGATGGTCAAAACATTGTCAAATTTGCTAGATTGAACCAATAATTTTATGGGTTGGGTCTTGGTGGAGAGATGTGGTAAGAGGACAAAGCTATGAAAATTAAATTCTCACAGTTATGTCAAGTCATTGAGCGTCATGGCAAAGCAGCAGTGAGGGTCCCAGCAACTTTGACTGTGGCTTTAGAAATGATCCGAATTACTTGCTTCTGAAAATAGTAACCATGTGTGTTGTAGATGTGCCTCTGGTGTTGCATACTTTTAATAACCATCTGTCAAGGCAAAAGCTGAATTATTGTAAAATGTAACCAGTTCCTCAGTCTCAAAACTCCAATGCAGCTATCCATAAACAGTTGACTATGGAGGCGAACAAATGTAATTGGTACATAATTAACTCAATTATACTGCATTTAAGTGGATAGACCATTTTTCTTTATAAGCTTATGTCAGATCTTAACATTGACACTTGCAAGCAATTAAAGGAACAAAGAATGTGTGAATTTGATCAAATGAAAATACAGCTACATTGTTGAATACGATTTAGGATTACTATTAATGGATAATGTCATACCATTAATATTTGAAGCTTGAAGTGGAGTTGAGGGAATAAATCCATTTATGAAAGGAAAGAAACAAGTAATTTTGTCTAAGTAATTACAGTAGAGCAAATGTACATTGAGTGAAATTACATGCATTACACCTATGCCAGAGGAAGTCACAGAGTCATATAGCACCAAAAACAGACCTTATAGTTCAATTCACCATGCCGACCAGGTTTCCCAAACTAAACTGGTCCCATTTGCCTGCATTTGGCCCATATCCCTTTAAACCTTTCCCATTCACGCACCTGTCTAAATGTCCTCTAAATCTTGTAACCTGCAAAGTGGTAGGCAACATTTAAAAGACATCTGGGCAGCTTCATGGATAGAAAAGGTTCAGAGGGATATGGGCCAAATGGGAGTGGCTCAGTTTAGGAAACCTGGCCAGCATGGGTGAGTTAGATTGAAGGGTATGATCCCATGTTGTATGACTCTATGATGAAAACTTGGTCTGGATTTCATGTCACACAAAGTGAGGTAAACTTCCCTTTAATATTTTACCAACTGCATCTTTCACTTTGCCCAATAATTATTTATAAGTAACAAAAAAAAAAGACTAATTTTCAACAGAGTATATTTTAAAAATCTAACGTGGCATGCAAGTAGCGGGACTGGAACAGGTGACTGAAAGCTGTTTCAGCATACATTTCAAAAGAACTATAATTGGTAAAACTATGGAAAGCAAAACTGGAAAAAAAATGTTGACATGATCAGAATAAAGATAATGATCCACTTGTCAAAACAAGTAGGTTCAATCTTGAGCCTCATTTAAAACTGACCAGAATCTACAAGCATCTGCGGTGTTTCTGCGAGCATCTTGCCAGCAGAGAGTTTAAATTTTAAGCTGCAGTATTGCTACAGACCCTATTGTCCCCAAAGACAGGATTAAATGATCAGCAAGGCTGTTGTGTAGCCCCATTCAAGTCAGCTTCAAAAAAACCTGTTTGGTCCCAGCCTTTAGTCATTCAAAGGTCCACATATTGGATAACAAAATCTATGTATAGTCAAGCCAATGGGGCTTGCTGCATTCAGAGCAGCTCAATTTCAGCAAAAAGGTCCTGAAACAGATTTCCGATCATATATTTGCACATGCAAAGGATCTAATGTGCAAGAATAGTAGAGGAACAGAGGAACATTGAAGTGCAATGGCCACAGATCCCTGAAGGTAACAGGGCAGATAAGAAGACATCCTTTATCATGAGGCATGGGACTGACACTGTATTCCCAGCCTCCCAAACCTGGCCAAAAAATTTGGGGGGGGTGGGGGGGTTGTTGGACACCACTCATGATATCAATGGCGACCTGCAGCATTAGGAGCATTAATTGGTTTAAGGTGATACTTCCTGCCTCAATCTCAGGACAAAGTCCGACTTTAGCAAGTTACCAGTCAAAGGACCATCAACCCCGTCTGGCAGTGGTGACCACTACTGGAGTTACAGGTAACCCCAACATGCCAAGAAGCCCAGGTAAGTTAGGGGTCAAAATCCTCAAGAAAAGTGTGTGGGGCCAAGTGTCCCAATCTAAACTAGTCCCATTTGCCTGCATTTGGCCCATATCCCTCTAAACCTTTACTATTCATGCACAAGTCTAAATGTCTTCTAAATGTTGTAACCTGCAAAGCAGCAGGCAACATTTACCAGACATTTGGACAGATGCACGGATAGGAAAGGATTAAAATGGGTGGAAGGAGAGGCAGGAAGTAGGTAACCTTGTTGGGGGGAGTGGTGGTGTCTTGTCATCATGAGCTTAGGAGTCCTATCATTGAGGATTCGCCACCACCCTTCTCATCACCGACCCTGCAGCTAAAGCTGGTAGACTGCCCACAGAGCCAGGGCCAGCTTCCGCAGCAGCTGAAATATATCGAGCAGCAGGATGAAGTCCTTAACTGGTGATTAATTGATCACTTCAGGACCTCGACAGGTACAATGGCAGATGGGTTGCCAGCGCCTCTACCACCCTCCCGCATAATGTTACAGCAAGAGAGGAAGTAGATGGTGAGATGACAGGAAGGCCAGCTGCTAGCTTTTTGCAACCTGCATCAAATCCACCAGTGGGGGAAAAGTGTAGAATCCAGTCCCTGCATCACAATAATAAATAGAAAATAATAATGAGGGTACAGTTAAAGTACTGTGTACAATTCTCGTCAGTGTATAACAGGAAGAATGTGAATGCACTAGTGAGAGTACAAAAGAGACAGGAGGGTGCTTCCATGATTGGAAAATTTTAGCTGAAGGAAAAAATGGATACTTGGGACTGTTTCATAAGCCACAGGAGCAGAAGTAAGCCATTCTGTCCATCAAGTCTGTTCCACCATTCAATGAGATCATAGTTGATCTGATAATCCTCAACCCACTTTGCTTTTTCCACATACCCCTTGATGCCCTTACTGATTAAAAATGTCAATCTCAGCCTTGAATATTCTGAAGGACCCATCCTCAACTGGTCTCTGTGGTAAAGAATTCCACAGATTCATGACTCAGAAAAAAATTGCTCCTCATCTTGGTTCTTAAATGGATGACTCCTTAACCTGAGATTAGGCTCTCTGGTTCTAGACTCTAAGAGAGTCCATTTCTTTAGTCGAGAGCTCAGTAACCTGGGTATGAATTTATAATTAAGTGATGTGGGATTAGTGGGAAGTTGTGGGTAGTTTTCCTTCCCCAGACGGTGGCAGGGTCTGGACCACTATTTGCCTTTCCACATTTAAAGAGTACCTTGATATGGACCTGAAGTGCTGATACCTACTTGGATAGTTATTTCCAGATAGCATAGATACATTGGGCCAAATAGATCATTTATGGCACAAAGGCCATAAAATGTTTCAATCTAACTATGTCCTTGCATCCCACTAAAATCCTTGTCATGTACAAGCTCTCCAAGACCCATGCTAACCCCCTTATTACAGAGAGGCAGTTAAAACCACACGACTATTCATGCTTAAACCAAAACCCTCATATATCCTCTTCTCTGAATTCTCTACCCTCCATTCTGTTTTCAGTCTTGCTTTTCACCACATTCCTTATAGATTGCCCTCAGTTGTATCATATCATATCCTCTTGTGGTCTCAATGAATTTGCAATTGCAGAAGATCATTTCTGTTCTCCTTTTGTGACTTAGAAATCACATGCTAAATTCTTTATTTTTCATCTTTCTGCCTTTCTATGTAAATGTATAAAATATTTGGGGATTAAAAAGAAGTTAAAGCTGTTAGTAAAATACATTTTTGTTTCAGATGTCAACAAAGATGGTGGCAACATCTAACCTCCCACTGATATGGACAAGTATCGAATAGAAATGGCAGTAATGATGCTAAAATCTGCACTAATTGTTATGTCCTTGTGTAAAAGCACATTTGATGAACTTCAAAGAAAGAGAGCGCGATAAAAGAAAACTCAAATATACATGTAAAGTCAACTTTATAACTTAAGCCAACATAAGCTCTGGGTGTCCTCAAAAACTGATTGACGCAATTAATTTTCCTCAATGAATGGATTAAAGGACTGTTTAAATGGACTGCTGTAGGTAATTTATATATCTTAAATCACTGGTGTCATTTCTTCACATACACAATTACAAATCAACATGAATCAAAATTTCAAAACCTTCTTGTTAGCAGTATTAACCATCAAGGGCTACCATTATTAAAGAATAAACAGACCATGTGTTCTCAGTAAGTTAAACAAAAATACTGGAAACTCTCCAATAGGTCAGATGCCACCTGGCCTTTTCACCATTTCCAGCACGTTCTGTTTATGTTTTTGATTTTCAACGTCATACTTGCCTTTTGTACATATTCAGGGCCTTGCCTGTACCTGACTTAAACTTATCTTCCACTATTAACTAATATGTATCAATCAAGTAAGAAACGTTCAATTTGAAAATAAACACTTGACCAGGTTTTAAAATCTAACGTGATCACTGACTCCTTCGTATTCAGATTTCTACTTACCATTCTCTCTGCCTCCATTTCTGCAAGGCGGGTCCTGTGTCTTCGACCTAATCGCAAGACCTTCTTCCAAGTATAGTAATATTCAACACACTGTGCTACAGTCTTTGACTTGATCTGTATCAGATAACAAAGTTAGTAGATCAATGTTACAATCCGAATTCCATATTCACACAAATGTGCTTAACGGAAGTTTATATTAAACTTTAAAAATAGTGTTTGTTTACCATGCTAAGATATTGTTGCAGATATGTGTTCAGTATTATTTTAGAGTGGAATGATAGACATGATAGGTTAAGAGTTGGTTAGACAGAGTCCAGGCATTTACTTTTCTAATTGGTTTTACTTCAACCTACACATCCAACTCATTGATTGCTTGCTCTCCAATTTTCATCCAATCATTCATTAACTACCATAAAACCATCAACTCCCCAGTCACATTTGGGCTGAGGCATCCTCCTAGATTACAACAAAAATTTACTTGTTTGTTTGAGACTAAAAGTAAAAAGTGGTTGACTAATATGTACAATGCATCCTCAGATTTTTCTCGCACCCACTCATTTTTGCCAAAGAAATTCCCACAATACCACAGCAGCACATTCCTATAATTATGACTAACAGTTGATGTTTTATACCATTTCTCAAATATATGTCACATCCTTCTAACTCTCTGAAGTGCCTTAAAGGCATTATATAAATTAATGTAGAGGAATATTATAAATCAATAGCAAATGCTGTACATGCTGTAAATCTGCAATAAAAACAGAAAATACTCAAAAATCAAAATACGCATCTGGTAACATTTGCAAGAAAAAAATCGGAGTGAACATTTCATCAATCTTTTACCAAATCTGGTAAAGTAGAAAGATGAGAATTAAAATAGCTTTAAGTTGGGAGAAAATCAACAATTGAAGGGAAAAAAATTTATACTGACCAATTTCAGTATGCAGAGTGCAATCAGATTTTTATTCGTTATTCAGTCACAGGATGAGGACGTCACTGGCCAGGCAGCATTTACTGCCCATCCCTAATTGCCCAGAGGGCAGTTAAGAGTCAACCAAATTGCTGTGGATCTGCAGTCACATGTAGGCCAGACCAGGTAAGGATGGCAGTTTCCTTCCCTAAAGGACATCAGTGAACCAGATGGGCTTTTCCCAACAATCAGCAATAGATTTATGGCCATAATTCAACCCTTAATTCCAGATATTTTATTGAATTCAATTTCTACCATCTGCCATGGCTGGATTTGAACCCGGGTCCCCAGATGATTATCTGGGTTTCTGGATTAACAGTCCAGCAATACCACCACTAGGCCATCTATTCCCCTCCATATTTGACATATTTGCTGAGAAGTCCTAGTGTGTTACAGTTCCACCTTAAGGTAAAATACTGATGTGGTAATTCCTCCTTCAGTCAAATAAAGTTGGAGTAACAGTTTCAATCAGAACACCTTCATATATCTCTGCACCAACCCCAACCCCGCAACCATCTGTGGCATTTTTCTTCGTGCATTTAAAATAGCCCGGAATCCCATTTGTTGAAAAGAGCCTATTTCTTTCTTGTTTCATCACTTTAGCAACCATTTCATTTTATTATCATAACTTAAGTTAAAGGATACTGTCTGCTTTTCCTATTTTGTTGCCATTAGTTTGTAAACATGGCCCCTTTATGCTTAAATTCTATACAACAGAAAAGCTCTGTTAAGCCAAATTGTTTGGACTTTTTTTTTAAACTGAACCTAGTTTTTAAAGATCTCAACTCGCTATTCATTGCTCTAATCTCAAAAGGATTGATATTGCCGACAATATTTCAATAGCAAATGCTCAAAACAAGTGTGATATACTGGATGGTCCACATCATTACATGATCTACATAACAGCAAAACACTAGTTGATCCACCAATCAGTCTGCTGCCTCAACTTTATTCAGGTCAGATCTAAGATTGATCCAGAACAGGACAGAGACTTGGCTATTAAACTTGGAGAGTCTGGTCAAAATCAGTCTTCCTTACCCAAGACAAGTTATGAATCTAACTGCTATCCTGATCAGATGATTTGGTACGGAAGAATCAAACCGGAACCTTTTAGTTTGTGTAGTATGGAGCCATTCTGCCTTTACCAAACGAAGCTGCAAGATAACTCAGCACTGATGTCAGCTGCACCAAGTGCTGTGTCAGGCAGTGTGCAAACGTAAGGTTATTCCCATTCTGGAAGGTTTTGTCACGGCTGTCTAGTAGCTTCGTTTTTTTTTTAAATGAAACAAGGAAGGAGAAAAAGAAAGCAGACAGCCGTATTATCTGGAAATGCTTTCCTGCCTTCTCACGATCAGCTAATAGTGATTGGTAACCTAAAGAAGCGAGAAAAAAAGGTTTGACATAAGCTGAAAACGGACCATTGTCTGTGGCATAATTCATATTTTTTAGGCTGAAGTTGTTTCTTATAAAATGAATTACTCAAATTTTATAAGTAACAGCTGTAAAATATTATGGAAAGAGCAAGTTTGAGATTCCTCAATATGAATCAACATGCCTGGATTCAATTAACAATAAGGAATACAAAAGAATGGGAGAATAAATATCCTTTGACTAACCATACTTATAAATACGACTTTTATCTTTATTATTAATCACTTCCACTTTGTTAGAGAAATGTTTAGACATATTAGAACCCTCACTTATTTTTCACTATTTTATTTTATTCTTTTTCTCATTTTTAATTTGGAACTGTGAATTGTGAGTTGAGAGCCAAAAGGTGATCTTTGGATTGTGAGTAACAGCTTACGCTAATAAAAAACAAAAAACTTTGTTTTTGAGGCCTGAACTGAAAGTTAATTGCAGGTTGTTTCTTGTCTTAAAAAAGAAAGTGCCCCATAGACACTTCGTCTTTGGAGGGGCCTAATGATCAAGCAGGTGCCAGATGCTGAACGTTCACTAGGACATCATGAGCAGATGCTCAGTATGGCAGGGAAAGGCTAGTGTTTGAACTGGTTTTTGAATTGTGTTTAAGTCAGAAGGATTGTGCCTTCTAAAACTGCAGGATGAAGATTTGATTGCTACCTGGTTGTTAACTTACTGAATAGTCAGAGAATAGAATTTGACTTATAAGAATTAAATGAATATTCCTCAGAGCCTACTGGAAAATATCTGCATGCATCGGTCTTGTCAGAAACCAAGTAACACATAATCCTGTGTGGCAGTGATGCTACGATTTGTGGAGTCCACTGAAGTGAATTGGCCAGTTAGATCTCATTTACGTTTCTCTTCTGATTTATCCCTTAACTGTGTGTGCCTTTGTTTGAAAGTGGGGCGAGAATCCAAGAAAGATTAGGTTTAAAATCACAGACATTAATAAGATTACGTTATGGTTTAGCTTTGCTCTGCTGAAGTTACAATGTGGAGATGCTGGTGTTGGACTGGGGTGTACAAAGTCAGAAGTCACAAGACACTAAGTTACAGTCCAACAGGTTTATTTGAAATCACAAGCTTTCTGAGTGCTGCTCCTTCATCAGATGAAATGTCTGCTAAAGTTACTGTATTGTTAATAAATTGTTAAGTCTTTTGTTTAAGCTACAAACCTGGTGTCTAGTATTGATAATTCACAGAGTCTGGTACTTGTTATTCAAAAAGTCTGGCTAGGAACCATTGGGGTCAATTTTGAAGGTAGTGAGGATTTTAATTTTATTGTGTCATGAACACAAATCAGGAAGCTGATTTGATATGTGTCCGTGTCATGACGGAAAAAATAATGCTTTTGCTCCTGGCTGAAAGTCTTACAAAGATTATGATCACACTTAATATATTAACATCAAGCATAAATCTGGAGCTTCCATGGGTCTAAAGTTAATTTGTAGATTTGATTTTAAGGTACCTTTTTCAAGAAGTTGCACTGCAAGTTGCAACAATGCTTTGTTTGGCATGCAGTAAAGAAAACAACAGGAATTGAAAGGAGGTCAATTATATTTTTAGGACAACAAAATACATCACTTCTACCAAAGAAGATTACAGTTATTCAAGAAGGCAGGTCACCACTACTACCTCCTCAAACTTAACTAAGTGCTGGCCCAGCTGGGGATGCCCAAAATGACGGGTGAGAAAATTCCTCAATATGTACCCATACTTACACCTTTCTCATTCAAAATCGTCAGATGGTTTTCACAGTCAACATTTTCAAGATCCCAGCAAAGAAATGATTGGCCATTTTGCTTGCTAATATTCCAACAGCACACATTCATTTCTAACCAAACATTTGTCTGGTTTATTTTGAAGCGACAGGCTTATACTTTCACAGGGAGTCTGACCCACATGGATCCATCAGCATCTGTGTGGCATAAAACCACGTGAAAGCTTCGCAATTTGAAAGGTTACTAAGGCAATTTGGCTGTGATCCTTTCTTTTTAACCAGATTTCAACAAGGTTGTAACATCCTTTGACATGTAGGTTATCAAACGCATGTATAAGTATGTCTATTCCATATACATTACTTATGAAAAACAGCTTTGATATTTGAATGCTATTGCACTTGGAGCGAGCAAAATCAGCAGCCTTTATGCCATCTAGTGAGACATGATCATTGATAAACTTAACTCCATCTTTTGTTAATTTTAAAAGCAGTGTGCATTTTTCATCATAACATGCCGCTGTAACAAATTAATTTATCCCCACCATTGTCAATTCTCTTGCCTTTATTTACTGGTTGATATTTCTCCAATTTCATTAGGTTTAAATTCATGAGTTCATTTTTAAAATTCCTTTTCTTTTTAAAAAGGTTCGTTCTTTTGCTACACCTTCCCCCTCATCCTGCTCATTTTTGGATCTCTGCCCTCAATCTCCCTGCTCAAATGATTTTTAAACATCAAATTCAATAGAGGAATTACCTTTATTTAAAAAAGAAAGATAGTCTCCAACCTTGTTCAAGCATCCATGACAGAGTCCTTCACCTAGCCCCACAGGATATTCGACTCTTCACCAGTTTGTAATCATTTCTTTACCTTTCTCTTGTCCTAACCACTAGCAGACAACTTGTCTCACTCACTCTGCTAAATGATATATCTGACATATTCAGTCAGGTCTGGAAGAAAATCATCACAAGTAGAGAAGTGGAAAAATTAAACAAAGAGAAACTTACTTCAGATTACTGAAATGCACATTTCTACAACTTAATTTGTCAGAGAACAAGGAAAAAGATGTGAATTTTGCTCCAACTGATGGCTGCTGAGAAAACTGTTCCCACTATATTGTCAGTTCTTTAAGTTTATAGGTAAAAGAAAATTCTCCGTAGTCCTCCTGGACCACAGGACTGTTCTCTCAATAGAGACAGATGACTGGTGATGGTTTAACCTAACAATCACCATGCTACAGGTGAAGGGTGAGGTTGAGAAGTAGAGTCTTTCATGTTAATCTTGGCCAGTCCGGGAATTTAACTTGCACTGTTGGTGTTATTCTGCAATGCAAGCCAGCTGTCCCGCCAACTGAACTAACCAAACCCCATCTCTAAACAGGACCAAGTATGTGAAGCAACATCGTGTGGTGTTAATGACCACTAATACACCAAATGTTTAAGTAGTAGGCATACAACAAACTGAAGCACTAAGCAGTTGATGTATGATCCTGGGAAATAAAATGTGGGAAATAAAATGTAGGATAACAGTAACCCAAACACTATCAAATTTGGAATAATACTCAAAGATATGTTGTAAGGTTGCTATTAAAAAGGCAAAAGACTATTATGTAAACAGTTCATTATAAAAGTTAAATTAGTTCAGAGTTATGGGCTACCACTTGAACCTTTCTTGAAATGGAGTCAGATTAAACTCTTGCCTCTCCCACCATGAATATGGATCTCCAATGTGTGCTCCTGAAGATAGATGAAGTTTAAAAAAAAATTTCATCACCAGTGACAGCAAGTCAAGCAATTTCTCCAGACGCAGAGTCCATTTTCAGTGACAAACAACAGTGATCCAATTTCCACCATCCTTCATGTGTGGAACTGCTGAAGCCTCATTTCTGAAAGGCTAGGCTACCTTGCCTAGTTCTGGACTCCTCAACCATGGTAAATACTTTCTCTCATATCTAGCTGTTCTGTTTAATATCTTCAAAGCTTGAATCACCCATTAAACTTCTAAATTCTGGGGAAGACAACCCTGGTTTATGTAGTTTCTCCTGCTAACATATACCTTGGAGTCCAGGTATCTGCACTCAAGGCCAATATTTTGTTCCAAAGCTGCACATAATCAAGTGTTAGAGATTTCAAAACATCATTTTTTCTTGCCTTTTCCTCTCACTGAATTGCATCTTTCCTTTTCTTTCTATTCCGAAATTTACTCTATTCCATCCTCCTCCTCAGCTATTCCAGCGTTTCTCAATCCTGAAATCACTTTGGTTGAGGGGATCCACAGATGGCCCTGCTGCTCACTAAAGATTTCAGATACCCCAGCGGCCTCAGTGTACCATTATCAGATCACATTTCCTGCCATCTATTGCTAAAAATAAAAGTTGAAGCATGCAGGGGAAAATATATTCCAAATAACAACACACATCACAAGATACCCCGCTTTAGCAAGATCTGGGCTGAAAGGTATTTTTCTAATTGATTCTGTACTGCAAGACCACAATATATTCTTGTTACTTGTTAAATACAGCACTGGACTGTCTCTGGAAAAGTTCTCTTACCATTTTCTGAACCAGGAAGAAGTCCTTGTTATGTATACTCAAAGCTTTGTTGAATAATTTCCTTTCTGCTGTTGTCCACTTGTCAGAGCCTAAGAAAAGGATAGAACTTTTAGCAAAATCAAAGACCACTTGGAATTTTATTTTTGGTTTGAAATTTCTTACCCATTGTATTTCCACCCTCCAGTTTTATTCTCTTCATTGTCACATAGCATTGGCAATCAAAACTGCAGATAGGCTGTCAAAGGAACAGGGACTCAAACCTCCGCCAGGCTGTTTTTCATCCAGTCACTTGAAAATGCCTGACCAAGGCCAACAACTTCCTTTGTTTTAATTTCTCTCTATTCTCAGTGTCCATGTGATTTCCTACTGCAACATGGCAGAAATGTGTGTGAGGAAATCAAACCTAAAATTTGCTAGTTGTTGACACCTTTGTTTCAGTGCGCTAACACACAAGTCCAATCCTTTAGCTGCTTGCATACGACCCTTGCACAGTCCAGCAACCGTCATCAAAAGCAGTGGTCCACAACTGTTCTAAACTATGGGTGGAAATGTTCTTTTTTTCTCCCCCAGTGCTTTAATACTAGAAATGAGTTGGAGTATTTTGATGTTGAACCTGGATATTGTTTGCTATTCCAGCAATAATATTTGGCCAAACTAAATTGGATGCAAAATCTGACATACAAGCAAGGGCCACAGTAAATGTCACATTTTGAAATATTTTAACGAGAAAGCGTATACATTGGAAAGCCCATCAACTAACCAAAAATTTTCAGAATGTAGACTCAGCTTAGATGGTCGCAGAGGAGAATGTATCCTGCGAATCACAACTAACCCCAAGATCCCAGAATATGTAGCATAAATGTGTCATAAGTATATTCCCAAAATAATGCAGATGCTGGAAATTTGAAATAAAAACAAAAAATGCTGGGAACCTTTAACAAGTCAGGGAGCCATTGTGGAAAAAGAAACACAGGGTTAATGAACTTCTGATGGAAAGTCACAAACCTGAAACATTAAGTTTCCTCTCCCAACAGATGACATGCTGAGTGTTAGCAGCACTTTCTGTTTTCATCACCAGTGATTATCAACACTTTGCCATTAGCAATAGTTTCTTATTTATTCTTTCAAAGCCTTTCAGGATTTTAAGCATACTATTAAATGTCCCCTTAACTTTTCTTCTCCAAGGGGGCGCAATTTCACTTTCTCCAGTCTCACAAAGCAAATGAAATCCTATGTCCCTTGTACTCTTTCTGGTAAATCTCCATTGGACCTTCCCAAGCTTCTTTCAAAGTGTGGTGTCCAAAATTGGACAGAATATGCTAGCTACAAATAAGCAACAGTATCATCCTTGCTTTTGTGCCCTATGCTTGTTTATAAAGCTGAGGCCCCTATATGTATTTTAAAAATAAAAACCATCAACTAAACTTTTGCTGTCTCGTACAAAGATAAGTACAGAGATCACCAGGTCACACAGGGTACATAGCGTATTAATTATTTTCAGTTCATTGCTAGCTAAAAGCAACTGAAGCAGCTGGTCTCTTGCTGCCACCATTCTGCAACAAAACCAAGTGTCTCCGATCCCAAAACTCATCATGAAGGAAAATGAACATTGGTCAGTGGGCAAGTCTGAAATAAGATAATTAGAATGAATAAAATTACTTACTTAGCTAGTAGATGAACTGGGAAATGCAAGTCAACACAGTGAAATCAATGTAAATCAAGTAAATTATTTAAAGAGAGGGGAAGAAAGATTGACTTCATAGACAGCCAGAATGGAAAAAGTATGAATTTATGTTTTTAAAAAAAACTTAAATAAAGAAAAGTAAAAACTGTCAAGGAATGAGATTCCGTATTCAAGAATTCAGGTACATAAAAATTTAGGAAACCACCAGCACAATGCAGTAAAACAATAAATTAAGTTGAGCTGTATTAGAATGTGACAGTGTAAACTTCAGAAATTTAGTAATTGTTCATAGACTGTAAGCAGCAGCAATAATTCTGTCTGGAGTAAACTATTACGGACAAGGATAAATTTATGCAGGAATAGAGCACCAAGAGTCATCAAGGCTACATGAACAAAACTGATTTAACACCTACTTGATAACTGGCTGCCTTATGCCACTAGGCCAAATGACTGCCCTGCTGAAGATATGAAGGAGTTAACTGCAAAACTCTGGGTCTTTTCACAGACACTTAAGGCCAAATGTAACATGGAACAGAGGAATTACTTCTCATAAGAAAGCAAGCTGCAAACTCAAGGGGTCCAGAAGAATAATCAAAAATTATGGATGGAAGGATCTAAAGGATCATCAATAAAATCACACCACAGGCCTTAAGGGCAAGAAACTGTATAAGAATTCAACACCAAAAGTCTTCATCAGATCTTCAAAGAACAACACTGCACAAGGATCAAACCCTAGATATCAAAGACAGACACTGTTCGTTGGAATAGCAGCCAATTCCACCATTAATTGGGTAACAGCCAAGTTGATTTGGGAGGCTTAACTCGCTTACTTGAGGCGTCTTATGTTCATTGCTACATGCAATAAATTTTAAATAATTTTTTCAGTATTTGATTGAGTGCTTTTTTTAAATAAGTAGTCAAATTAAAAAGGTAGCTTGTGGTGATTTACCTACAACAACAGCAATAAGTACAAACTGAAGGGTATCTTTGTGCTAGGATCAACATTTTATCTATCTGCTGTGCCTTACATAATTCTAATCACTTATTTATCAAATGAATATTAATTTTCTTGAAAGGCTACAGTTGTGAACAAAAGATTCACAATATAAAATTAAAGTTAACAAGAAAGGCATTTCCTTTGGCAAAAATAATTTGTAATAATTAACTTGAAATTTTCAAGAAATGCATGTTATGATCACAAAATAAATCCAATCAAATCATTCAGATTGATCAAGAAATAGAGTTGTTTATCCAAGTTTACAGGTGACATGTGAAGATGAACACAGCAAGTTCCAAAACACCTTGGACAAATTAACTAAGTGGGTTAAAACCGATGAAGGGAACGGTGAGCAGCTTTCTTAATCTGTGCTCTTTGCATGAAATGTCAATCGTTAACACTGAAAAAGAAATCTCACCAAGGTGAATCACATTCTCATGATCTTATGCAAAGGCAGAACAAGCTACAACAGAAATACTCACTACAAAAGTTCATATCAAGTTCTTGAATTTATCTGCTGCTATAAGCAGCCATTAACCCACCTTATTTATAAGGTGTAAAAATAACATAGATGAATGTACTTAAAACGTGATTAAATGTGTTCATGTAAACCTGGCTTATCAAAGGTACTTCTTTCATTGTGTCTATTAAAGAGGTTGTTGGCAATTTCAAACAAACACCAGTATTAAGTTTAATTGCTACACAGATTGCTGGTGCAATTTAGCAGAATAATGTTTTTATTTCTGTAACTATCATTTTCAGAACCAAATTAAGCAATACATACTTTATTTTGATGTAACGTACATTCAAGTTTTATTGCAACAGCTGAAGCATGATTGTATATGGCTAATGATTTCCCTTCAAATGGATTTACATTGTCTGGGAAGTGAAAGTGATAATAAAGCCAATCAATGGAAACATTAAAGAAAAACAGAAAATACTGGAAATACTTAAGTCAGGAATTTGTGGAGACAGAAAGAGTTAACACCCTGATCAAAGGACTGTTAAGACTCCAGGCATTTTCATTACAGGAATGGATCAATGTCCATCCTTTTTACTTCATTAGTGAGCCATGTTGCAGCAATTATCAACCTGTTTCTTTATAAGTATTTCAATCTAATTAATGTTCTCTATACAGTGATCATGTATTTCTTAATTTTGTTAATTTAAAATATGACACATTTACCTTGCATTTTTTCCCCTCACTTATAAAAATCATGCCACACCAAATAGGTATCTAAGTTACCATAATTTCATTACTAATTTAGTACTCATATCTACTTCTCAGTTTCCTTTCTTACATAAACAAAATTCAGTGTCTCTAGAAAAGATCCATGAATCAATCCAGTTTCCCTTCACTTTACTCAATTTCTTTAAGGTAATTTAAAAAAAGGAAAAGTCATATCAGACTCAAAAGGTTTGCAATAAAAACAAAGTTGCTGGAAAAGTTCAGCAGGTCTGGCAGCATCTGTGAAGGAGAAAACAGAGTTAAAGTTTTGGGTCCGTGACCCTTCCTCAGAACTGTTCCCGATTTACCTCATCCTAATAACAATTCTTAGCATCTAAGCAAGATAATGAGTGCCACAGGAAATGGCAGATTCAGGTACAGTTACAACATTAAAGAGACATTTGGATAGGTACATGAATAGGAAAGGTTTAGAAGGATATGAGCCAAGTGCAGGCAAATAGGACTAATTTAGCATGGGAAACTTGGTCAGCATGGACATGTTGGAGTGGAGGGTCTATTTCTGTGTTGTATGACTCTAAGTATGGGGATCAATGGGAGGCCTCCAGCACATATGTAATTCAGCCTGCCTACTCCAAGCAAGGGAGTGGGAAGATATCACTATCCAATGTCCAATACTAAACAAAATCATATCTTCTAGCCCGCCACCACACAAGGTGAATGGTCTGTGGACACAACTGTGGCCAGGCAGGCTAGTGAGGACACCTAAATATCTCCAGGAGTGCTGGGCCTCTGGTTTACTGCTGGAAAGTAGCTCCAGACACTGCCATGTTTCCACCACTGCGAGAGGCCCATAGGTCGATGGAAAAATTCAAGAAGGCCTCTGATTCATGGCCTTCAGCTAGCTGCTGCTTGTAGGCAAGTAGCTGCCAATCCTCAATCCAGCCCTGCAGTGTGTTTCAGGGTTAATGTGGTGCTAGTCAATGGCTGACAATACAAAAGCACTGGCTGACACTAAAATGCAAAAGCACTCACTATTTCCATTGACCCACAGAAACTGTGTCCTGGATTGACTACTGAAAGTTGGGAAATGTCCAGCTGCCACAGTGAAGTAGTTTTACCATTATGGCCATTTGGCATTTCCGAGCTCGAAGTTTACATCACATATAGCTAGGGTGGTTAAGAAGGCGTTTAGCATGCTTGCCTTCATTGCTCAGACCATTGAGTATAGAAGTTGGGATGTTATCCTGAGGTTGTACAGGATGTTGGTGAGGCCTCTTCTGCAGTATTGTGCCTAGTTCTGGTCTCCCTGTTGTAGGAGAGACATTATTAATTTGGAGTGGGTTCAGAAGAGATTTACCAGAATGGAGGGATTGAGTAATAAGGAGAAGCTGGACAGGCTGGGACTTTTTCTGTAGGAGCAAAGGAGGTTGTGAGGTGACCTTATAGAATAAGTTCATAAAATAATGAAGGATATTGTAAAGGTAAATGCAGGTGTCTTTTCCCTAGGGTGGGGGCTTTCAAGACTGGGGGCATAATTTGAAGGTGAGAGGAAAAAGATTTAAAAAAGATATGAGGGGCAATTTATTTTATAGAGTGATTTTTGTGGAATGAACTTCTAGAAGTGGTGGTGGATGTGGGTACAGTTACAACATTTAAAAGACATTTAGACAGGTACATGAATAAGAAATGTTTGGAGGGCTACGGCCCAAGTGCAGGTAGATGGGACTCATTTGGTTAGGCACGGACTGGTTGGACTGAAAGATCTGTCTCCGTACTGCATGACTCTATGACTCTATCCAATGAAATTTCAAAAAAAGTTAGATTTGTCTGGATTTTACATACCAGCATAGTGATAATCAGCCAGTGGATGAGATTTAGCTTTAATAGGCATCTTCATCAGTAAAATATCCACAGCTACCTACCATAAAAGGAAACAGAAAGATATGTATTCAACGGTTTGGCAGCATTCTTAAGGGCCACAATTTGCAAGAGAAAAAGAACAGGGAAGCACAACATTCTACATATTTATAGACAACTGCATGCTGTTTTTACTGATCGTACATTTTGGCACAATACATTTATTTACATCCGCTTGTGCTACACTCAAATGAAACTTAGTAAAGAACTTGGAGTCGGTTCTGACATAACTCAGGTTTCTTCAAAGCGAATTGGTTTTAATGCAATTAAAGAATTATAGAAAGCTTTTTGTATAACGCTAAATTTCCCTAATAGTATTGGCTATAATGTGATTCTGTCCCCATCACTTTAAACATCATAGTTATTGCACGATTTTCTTATAATACGACATTGCAAGAGAACTGGACTATTGCATTATATCAGAACCAATTGTACTTCCCTGTAATAATTGTTACATTTCGAAAATCAGAAAAACTTGATACTTGGTTTCAGTCACAAAGCCTATTGTTCAATCTCAAAGAGACTCTTTGCAGACATCACACAAATGGACAGAAAACTTTAAACAAAATATTTGAATTAAACTAATCAATCAGTTATTGGGTAAATAACGGAGTTAAGCCAATTATTCAGTCCTGCAAGTTCTACAATTGGTTCTAAATCTTTTTGTTTGTGATATCATCAGAAATTGTATACAAAACAACAACTTCAAAACTTTGCCATCCTGCATAGAACTTATGGCACAAAACACCTTTGAATTCATCAGCTAAATTGATAGTGTTCACAAAACAGATGTAGCCAAAGCTCTGCACAACACATACGTATCAATCTTGACACAGAAACTGACATCTGAGCGTGAAAGTTGACGTTTTGGGTCGGGACCCTTCTTCAGAAATGGGGAGAGGGAAGAGAGCTCAGAAATAAAGAGAGAGAGGGAGGGTGGTAGGTGGGATGGTGATAGGTGAGTGTATGCAGGAAGTTGTGGGGATTGGTCAATGGGAATAGGTGGGGTGGATAGGTGGGAGAGAAGATAAGCAGGTTGTGTTCCAGCTCCACAGCGTGATCTTGGACTCCCGCATCTGCAGTCCTTGCTATCTCGGAGACATCTCAGCGGTTTGTTTAGTTTTCTGTTTCTTTTTCATTTCCTAATTCTAGTCATTACTTATCAATACCTGATATTTTACTGCATCAAAAAAATTACAAAGATTATGTGGATTATAACAATCATCAATGTTCTCTTAACTTCTATTTAGTAGGCTATTCTAAACAAAGAAATGGTCACACAACAAAACATTAACCTTTACAAATGCTTAACAATTTGCTGATTTCCAGCCTATTTAATTTGTTACTTCCACCACTGCATTTCTCCTCTTATCGGTGCAGTGCATTCCAAAGGATAACATGGAGTTCCTTTCAGGAAGGTTGTTCCTTAGCATAAGAAATCACTTCTGCAGTTATTAAAAGCATAAATATTTCTTATTTTGCAAAATTCACTAAAACAGAACTGCCTAATGTTTCAGTAGCTGACTTTCAACAATGGTATATTTATGAGCAAAACAGCACCACTGTCCTGAAGATGATTTAATTGAAATGACTTGATTCTTAGAAAATGAAATAGAAGGTGTCGTTTTCATGAGCAACAACGATAAAATGTATTAAAATCCAGATCCTTGACAATCTTTATTTTTCACTTGCTATCAGTGCACTTCAAAACAATTCAAAACAAATGTAAATGTGTATTGTACAAGCATCATCATCTCAGCTGTAAAGCAGTTGTAATGTCACACTTACCAAAATGTTACCATGTGCCTCAAAAAGACAATGGAGAGCAAGTTCTCGATTTGTCCCACCACCTGGTACTACACTAGAACAAGCCATGTTCAGCAGGTCTTCCACTGTAAAAAAGTATAAAATAAGCTTATATAAATTTACAAATATTGAACTTGTATTATCAAATTCATAAACAATATCAAGTGATCTAAGATTCCATGGCATGATTAAAAACAGTGGAGATTTCTTTATGGTCTACAATGATTCCTAACTAACAGTAGAATATATAGTTGTTCATTTAATGAATTAGTGTTTGTTGGATTAATTGTGAATAACTTCTTGTGTTTGCCTGCACAGCAGATTTGAGGTATTCCAACATCCAAGAGGCAATTCAGAACATTTCAAGCAAGCGAGAGGCAATATGTAAAGGAAAGATTTCTTTTCCTGCAGTAGAAATTGAAAATATAACGTTGATGCTTTAAAAAAAAATGGAACTGTGGCAGAATCCTTAAAACTCAGCTACAATAAAAATTGCTAGTGGGTTTAATTGGTGAACCACCTGTAATTTAGTGTTTAGCAACTAAAAATTAATTGTCATGATCTTGCGCGTCTGCCAATGTTTGGGACAAGGGAAGAACTTCCGGTCTCTGGATAGGTAGACGACATGGGTTGGGACCACATGGAAATTCCAATGTATTGACTATGTGGGAATTGCCTGGGAAGTTGGAACTTCTGACAGACAGACATCTGACATGTAGAATCTTCCAACAAAGGTCCAACTTTGACTTTGAGTTAGAGACTTGGGAGGATTGTGACCGATTAAGCAGAAAAACCTAGAGGGAGTAAAACCTGCTCCACCTCCAGGCTAACTATAAAACTGACCCCGCAATGGCCAACCATCATTCCCCAACACCAGTGGATCCAGCTCAATCTGACCCACACCTCTCCAGAACCATTGGCTACATGCAACCAAGCTTTCTCTCTACCCCAGCCCACCCCTTCCATATCCATTGAGCTAACCCCCTCCCCAAACCACCTGGATATCCAAGACCACCAGCCCAAACCTACCTCGGGCTTGACCCGCTCAACAACCCAAGAGGGCCCATCTCAGCTGACCTAACTCACTCCTCACCAACCACCAGCTGATCCACAAATCAGCCTCCTCAATTCCATCCACCCTGCCATTCTTTCATCCACACACACACACACTCCCCCGAAGCTATCAAAAACCCTCATCTATTACCGGACATCCTACTTGAACACCTTCCTGCGTCCCTAAGCCTTTGCCCACTTTCCTTACATACTTACCATCTCTTAGCAGGTATCAGTGACTTCAGAACTTAAACTCATGGAACCTAATAGGTAGTATTAAAAGAAAAGGTGTGTGCTTTCAACAATGATCCATTTCGCTGCTGGCTGCATGCCTGTTGGTCTGGACTACATGACTTGAAAGTTCCTGGCCCCATATATTTGTATGGAAAACTCCTCCAAAGCAAGTGTGTATTTCTTCGTCCCATTAAGTTTGTAAACTGGGTTTCTGGCCCTGATCAGACAATCTGGGCCAAAGCGTTTGGCAAAGGCTTCCCACCTAATATGTACACAATTATACACTTACAGGACAGGATGCAGGCACCCAATTGTTTTATTCTGCTCCCAAGCTAAAGATATAAATAAACTGTCATGCCCACTGAGACCAGCCATCACAGTAAAGACCAGGAACCTTGGGTCTGTCTAGCTCAAATGCATGTCGCACAATGCATGTACTCGGAGATATCTGGATCCTTTCCATGATTTTTAAATAAGATGTTAAAAAGCAATTTTATGTGCAAAGGAGAATAAGTGTTTCTATTTAATCAGAAATTAAGTATTTCAGTCTCACCATAACTCTGCAGACATTGTGATATTATATCTACTGGAAATTCAAAGAGTCAGATTATATCAGCAACTAAAATGTCAGATAATGACTCCAAAGAGTTGGGGCCATTTGGGCCCTGCATGCTGACCAAGAAAGGATCACTGGCTGAATGTAGTCCAGGACTACAAGTCTCTGAAGTTGAAAGGAAACTTCATTGATGCAACCTCAAGAGCAACCAATCATTAAGTTCTTATTGGGGTCTTCATATGGTTGTGGGAAGTAAAAAACTAAAGTTGTATAAGATAGGACATCAGGCAGAATATTCCCTGAAAAAACATCTATGTAATATACTAAATTGCAAAATGTGTCTTGTGAAGAGGCACAAAACCTTTTTGTTGAGCTTCTGGGTCATCCAGTTCACACCAAGGCTTCCACACCAGATCTGCTTTGGAGACATCATTTTCAACCAATGACCTGTCTCGCAATGCTGGAATTGCCGCTTGAAATCGCAATCCCATATTGATTCGCCTAACAAAATAAATACATATTTCAGTATTTCCAAGCATCAACTAAATGGCTACAAAATAAGTGCATTGAAATTGTATTGACAAAGTCCACATTTCTAAAATCCTTTATGCAAAATCTTTCAATAAACATGTTTAGTCATAATCATTGGTATGCCATATGAAGCACCGCTTCAATTCAAATGAAACTTTAAACCTTATAACTATATCTTGAAAATAATTCCAGTTCCAATAAGATTTATATTTTGCACAGCACAAATAGCAATCAAAGTATCAGTTCCCACATGTACATTGGAGACACCCAGATCAATGTCACTGGCATACCTTGGACTCTTCAAATGTCAGTGAGTTATTGTATTGCTTGACTGGTATCCACTACGAATGGGCAGAAACTTTCACCAAATACCGGGAACAGCCCCCATCCCTTTTGCCCAGCAATTAGCCAAGGCGAAAGTGGACAATTTGCAACATCGATGCCTGACTTACTATTGAGGTTACTTCCAAATGAGAAACTACTGATGTTAGATTTTGTTTAACTTTATCAGATATTTCCAAGCTTATCTCGATTACTTGAACTCGAACGATACAAAGTGACAAGGAATATTTTGCCAAGATTCAGTGTTAATTATTTGTTCAGGGAATGTGGGCATAACCGGGTGGGCCAGCATACATTACCCATCCTTAACTGCCCTGTGAGTGGTGAGCTGCCTTCTTGAACCATGCAAGATGCACAATGCTCTTAGGGAGTTCCAGCATTTTTGACTCAGTGACAGTGAAGGAATAGCTATAAAGTTCCAAATCAGGATGGCGAGTGGCTTCGAGATTGGATTTATCATGCTTTGTGTGTACAGGACATACCTGGGCAATTTTCTGCATTCCTGAATAATTGCCAGTGTTGTAGCTGTTTTGGAACAGTTTGGCTAAGAGCGCGGCAAGTTCTGGTTCACAAATCTTCAGTACTACTGCCCATAGCTTTTGCAGTGGCTTGCGCCATCAGCCATTTCTTGTAATCATTTGGTTGAAAGATTGGTGCATGTGATATTGGGGACTTCCAGAGAAGGCTGACATGGCTCATCGTCTACTTAGTATGTCTGACTGAAGATTCTTTCAAATGTTTTGGTCTTATCTTTTCCACTAACGTACTGGCCTGACTCACCCTTGAGGGTGGGGTGATAAGTAGAGCCACCTTCTCCACTCAGTTGTTTAACTGTTCACCACCATTCACAACTGGATATGGCAGGACTGCAAAGCGTAGATCTGCTTCTTTAGAATCGCTTAGCTCTGTCTATCACTCGCTGCTTATGCAGTAGTCCTGGTTTGTAGCTTCACAACATGTTGAACACCTCATTTTTAGGTATGCCTAGTGTTGCCTCTTGTTTGCCCTCCTACACTCTTCACTTTTAAGGTAACTTCCTATCCAATATATCAGAACAGCTCAATGGAATAACAGAATGATAAAGCATAGGAGATGCTATCTAATTATTCACCATCCCCGCCATTTTCCCAATGCCCTACAAATAATTCCATTTCAAATATTTATTCAATCTCTTTTGAAAGTTACTACTGGATTTTCTTTCACATCCCTTGCAAGAACGGCATCCCCCAACCATCATAATTTGCTGTGTAAAAACATTTTCTTCCTTAGTTTCAAAATTACATCTGTACCTCTGGCACTGAAAATGGATCCCTTATCTACTTTATCAGAACCCTTCATGATTTTGAACACCTCAAGCTTTACTTATTCTTCTCTTCTGTAAGGGCTACTCCCCTATTCATTCACAGGGAGTTGGTGACTAGGCCACATTTATTGTCTTCCTCAAAGTGATCCTACAAAGGTGATGATGATCTGCCTTTTTGAACTGCTGCAGTCCCTATAGTGTAAGGACTGCAGCAGTTCAAAAAGGCAGATACTTCTGGCAGATTCTTGTCCTTCTCGACTGCAGAAGTCATGCTTTGGAAGGAGCTATCCAAGATGTCTTAATGAGTTGTTTAAATGCATTATTTGGGTGGCATACACTGCTGCTACTGTGCGATACTGATTAAATTAATGTTAAAGGAATTAAATGGAATCTAGCGGTTGGTTACCTCATTTGGCCGAATGGCTGGTTTGCAATTCAGAATGACACCAATAGCTGAAGTTGTTATGAAGGTCCTGCTTTCTCAACCCAGCCCCTTGCCTGGGACATGGCGACTCTCAGCTTAAACTCACATCAGGTGTCTCTCTCCAACAAGAGCGCAGCCCTAAGGTCTGTGAGACAATGGCAACTACACCTTTAGTTAGATGGAGTCCCAATCAAGTAGGCTGGTTTGTCCTTGAATGGTTTTGAGTTTCTAGGGTCTTGTTGGAGTGCACTCGTCCAGGCAAGTGGTGAGTAATCCATCAGGCTTTGAGAAGTCAGGAGGTAAGTTAGACTGTGGTTTCTACTGTACCAGCTCGAACGTACAAGATCCTTTGCGAGGTGTGATATTCAGAATTCACACAGACACTTCACTTGAGCTTAGACTTAACCAGTAATTAAGAGAGGTTTCGAATAACCTCTGAGACTTTGTACACCAATACCTCTTTGCAAAACCAAGAATGATGTTCAAAAACAACAGGTTCTGGAGGAATAGTCATAATGAGAGAGATTACTGCTTCTTGTAGGGTTTATGACAAAGGTCGAAGTAAGGATGCAATTGAACAAATCATTAGCTCCCAAAATGTTCCAATGAACAGAGAACAAAACATTAGACATTGCGATTTTGAAAGTGCAATTGTAGGTGGATTAGGGCTAGTGTTTTCAAGGAGCAGATACAGACAAAGCACAATTGAGATAGGGAAGGGAATGATCCATTGTGATTAGAGATGCCCTTATCTCTAACATGTTTGAAGTAGCGCAGCCAGGTGAGATAGCAAGGTCAAGGAGGTGTCTGCAAATATGCATATTGTTTTAGATATACCTTCTTAACTTGTTCCTTGACCTTCAAAAGATATATGTAAATACACCCCCAGCTTCTTAGTCCTTGCACTGTCTTTAAAAATAGTATAATGTAATTGATTTTCATTCACCCCAGTCAGTGAGATGTACACCACAATACAACTTGTCCACACTGACTGGATATCCCAATTAATCTAGTCCCATTTGCCAGCATTTGGCCCATATCCCTCTAAACCCTTCTGATTCATGTACCCATCCTGATGCCTTTTAAATGTTGTAATTATGCCAGCCTCCACCATTTTCTCTGGCAGGTCATTCCATACACACACCACCCTCTGCACGAAAAATATGCCCCTTTAATTCCTTCCATTATCACCTTAAACCTATGCCCTCTAGTTTTAGACTCTCCTACCCTGGGGAAAAGACCTTGTCTATTTATCGTGTCCATATCCCTCATGGTTTTATAAACCTCCATAAGGTCAACCCTCAGCCTCCAACGTTCCAGGGAAAATAGCCCCGGCATGTTCAGCCTCTCCCTCTAGTTCAAACCGTCCAGCCCTGGCAACATCATTGTTAATCTTTTCTGAACCCTTTCAAGTTCCACAACATCTTTCCTATAGCTGCAAGACCAAAATTGAATGCAGTACTCCAAAAGTAGCCTAACCAATGTCTTGGTACAGCCGCAACATGACCTCCCAAACTTACCATTAAGTGTCTATGTCCTGCCCTGATTTGCCTTACTAAAATATAGCACCTCACAACTAAATTGAACTCCATCTGCCACTCCTTGATCCATCGGATCAAGATTTTGTTGTACTCTAAGGTAACCTACTTATTTGTCCACTACACCATCAATTTTGGTGTCATCTGCAAACTCACTAACCATACCTCCTAGATTCATATCCAAATCATTTATATAAATGGCAAAAAACAATGGACCCAGCACCAATCCTTGCAAAACACCGTTGGTCACAGTCCTCCAGTCTGAAAAGCAACACTTCACCACCACCCTCCTGTCTCCTACCTTTCAGCCAGTTACATATCCAAATGGCTAGTTCTCCCTGTGTTCCACATGATCTAACCTTGTTAACTAGTCTACCATGCGGGCCTTCCTACCAAAACTCACCACTTCACATTTCCATGTGTTAAGTTCCATCTGCCATGTTCTGCCTATTTCAGCAGCCTCCTCATTGTAACAAATCTGTTACTATCCTCCCCATTGTTTGCTGGCCTGCTGGGTTGCAAATTTTGAAACTATGACTTGGGTCGATGTCAGGACACTTCTACACAAAGCAATGGGGGAAGAGCAATAAGGGAACAGCAATGCATAGCTCCCTTGATTTTGAGCAAATTTTTTTTTAAGGAAATAAACTTCAGTGTGTCCTTCAATAGGAATTGCAGTTTTCTTGGGTGTAGGAAGAGAAGTGCATGAGCAACCAATTTGACTGTGATGTCTTAAGCATTAGTTAAAAGAGGTCACTTACGGTTCAATATCAACAGTTTGCTCCCCAGGACCAGGAGTTATTGTCAATGCATCAATGCTATCTGAAATCGGGGCAAAACAATATTAAGAGGATATTCTTGTTAAAAAGTTAAAAAGAGTACTTATGTAATATTAACTAAAAGAGTTATTAGTCAGTTCTTTCTAACCTGGCTTCAATCAAACCAACCCGGGGAATATTTGCATTTTACTCTAAGACATTTGGCAACACAAGAACCAGAGCAGGGCATTCAACCTGGACCTTTTCCACCATTCCATAAGAAAATGGTTGATATGTACGCCATTCACCTGTCATTAGATCATATTTTCTAATAACAATCTATCTTCTCAGTCCTTAACAGATTGAAGTGAACCAACATTCACCACATTTTGGGATACAGTTTCAGAATTCCACTCCTCTTGTAAAACAGAGCTGCCTGAATTCACTCCTAAATTCAAGTTCAAATTTGATGATTTCACCCTTTCATTTTGAATGTTTAGGGGAAAGGCTAGGTGTAGATTAACTATTTTATCAGCTTCTGTATTTTATTCCTTTCAAAATATTTATTTCTATTTCTTTCAGTTTAGAATTTAATCAAATTTATACTAACAAGTCTCAATTAATTAAACCTTAAACCACAGTATTGTTCCAATGGAATGATCCTGTACCTGAAGTCAATCTATCCTCTCTGTGCAATGCTGTCAAACTGAACAGTGCTCATGTACCTAAGGCTCTGTACAAGTGAAGTATAAAGTATAATTTCTCACTTTTCAATTGAGCCAAGTATCAAAATTTCACTGGTAGTTTTGATCGATTCTTGTACCTGCACACTAGTTTCTAATGATATATACATTGTTACCTAAATCACTTGACTATCAAAGCTAAGTACAGGTATGCCAGTTTTAAAGATGGGCAGAAAAATTGCAAAATATAAATAACTTCTTCAGCAACGTACAATCTGAAATTAGGATGTATAATGCAGTTACATTTTTATTCAGAAAACTTTAGTTGGCACTGAACATTGAAAAGCCTATTGGATTTAACCTGCTACAGACATGGATTCTCAAAATGCATCATTCAGCAGCCAAGAGAGAACATTGAAACCATATCTTTGCACATTAAACAGGAGACCTTTACCCATTCGAAACATAAGGTGCACCTCATCAAATTCATCCAGGAATAAAGTATAAACTGAAGCTCAGGCACTTAGCCATAATCAACAAAAAACCATGTAAAACAAGTCTGATGACAAGTCACTTAACATTGTGCTTAAACCTTTCCTAAACTGCAAATTAGCACACTTTGTTAACCTGCTTGACTTGGAGAATACTGCCAACTAGGAAAAAAAAATCCCAAGTATAATGATCTCAAAACAACTCCCTGAAATTAGAATCAAGCCAAATTCAAGACTGGATCTTATCAGTGAAAAAAAATCACTAACTAAACAACAAAGTTAAACATAAAATACTCACTAGCACGACCAAGCAGGATGCGTGGCGTTGAAGGGGTGAGCGGCAGTGCAGAATAAGTGCCAACATACGAAGATGAAATGACACTGCTGAAAAGGCCAGAGCCCTGTCTCACTGGACTTAACATCGGGGGTGGTGTGTACGGTGGGAGCTCGTGTGTCCTGTCCAGCAGGTGGTCTCCCATGATTCTTGGTGAACGAAGCTGACTTTGGTACAGTGTAGCACCTTGATATGAAGCAGAGAGGTTGACAGAAGGTGGAGGGATGTAGAGAGGCTCTGGTCTATGTCGATACTTCTTTTTGTCTTGCTGAGTTCTGTAGCTATCTTCTGACTGTGAACCACTGGGTTGACACTTTCGGATAGATTCCTAAGAAGTTTATAGTTTGAATTTTATTGCTTTTTAAAAAGATTGAGAATGAAAAAGAAAATGTCACAGAATATGTAATATTAATTGAATAAACACATTTGAAGATCTGAAACAAAAACAGAAATTGCTGAGAAAACTCAGGTCTGGCAGCATCTGTGGCGGAAAAGCAGAGTTAATATTTTGAGTCCAGTTACCAGATTACCAGTGATCTGGTAACTGGACTCAAACCATAAACTCTGCTTTCCCGCCACAGATGCTGCCAGACTTGCCGAGTTTCTCCATGAATTTCTGTTTTTGTTTCAGATCAAAAAATGTTGTTCTGATTCCCTTTTGCATGAAGGCAATGTCCCCTTTTCCATTCAAGGATTTCCCCCTCATCTCCAACATTAAAGATGGACTCAGTAAGTACGTAAGATTAAATGTGAGGGGAAAAAAAAACTGCCAGAGAAAAACAGAATCGTTGTGAAAACAAGCAGCACCAATCATCCAAAGGTGCAACAACAGCAAACACAAAATTAAAAAAAAACAAGTATGTTAAAGAACAGCGCATCTGTGTCTGTAAACTGTTCATGCATCTGTAGAGGAAACAAGAATTGAAAACAGAAACAAAGCTACACACAGATGTTTTCCCTCTCAAGGCCTTGTCAGTGGCAGTAAACCGTACTTTTAGGCTGTGCTATTGCGTACAAGAGACAACATTAAAGCGCTCCTTCTGAAGCAAGTCAAACAACTGGCATTAGTATTGGAGCACAAATCCTCCAATGATTTCAAAACGGGTGAGGGTGTGGCAGAGTTACCAACTTGAGGATTTTTGTACAAATGTACAAAGAAAATTATTTTCTTGTTTTCCCTTGTGCCTCAGAAAAGCCATCAACTGAAGATTGGGAATATCAAGACTCAACAGGTGGTTTGGGTTATTGCTGGTTGCTAACGTACACCGATAAGCATTGTGAGATGCAAATAGCATTAGCTGTCTCTCCAGATGAAAATTCAATTCTAAAAGAGCCAGCTTACCCCAAAGAATATCTGTTAGTAGAGGGATATAAAATAACAAAAGTTGCCACAGTACACAGATGCGTACCTGATTGGCTGAAAGGCTACTGAGTGTGTTGGGCAATTGCGTGTTCTAGCAAAGATGGAAGTAAAGAAGAAATGTTTTAAATTATGCGTGTCTTTAATGTTGTGACAACATTTCATTTAGAGGTTGGGCAGGAGTTAAGATAATGGCATTCCTTCATCTTCTTCAAAACCTCACATGAATAAGAATTAATTTCATCAAATCCCTACAGTGCAGAACAATGCCATTCGGCCCATCAAGTCTGCACTGACCCTCTGAAAAGCATTCCAATCAGACCCAGCACCCCATCCTATTCCCGTAACCTCACATTTATTATGGCTAATCCACCTAGCCCGGACGTCCCTAGGGTGCTATGAGCAATTTACAATAACTAATCCGACACAACTTTGGACTTGGGGAGGAAACTAGAGCACCTATAGGAAACACCCACAGAGACCATCAGTTACTGAGGCTGGAATCGAACCCAGGTCCCTGGCACTGTGAGGCAGCACTGCTAACCACTGAGCCACAATGCCACCAATTTCATACAGATGCTGAGGAAATTTAGGAAACTTTGTTGTTGCTCTAGTAATCACATTTTACAGAAAAAGTAGGATCAGCTCCTAACAAAACCAAAGTACTTTAAAAATGACAAGAACTGCAGATGTTGGACATTGGAAACAAGGATGGACACTGCTGGTGGACCTTAGCAGTTCTGGCAGCATCTGTGGGGAGAAAACAGGGTTAACGTTGAGTTCAGAACTACCAGATGAAGAGTCACCATGATGTTAACACAAAATGTTAACTGTGCTTTCTCACCACAGATGCTGCCAGACCTGCTGAGTTCTGCCAGCAATTTCTGTTCTTGTTACTTCGAAATTTAGTTGTTTCATTGCAAAAAGTAAACCTCATGAACTATAGACCATTTTAATCCAAGTAAAACTTGTTCAAAAGCAGCAGGTAGAACAGTCATAAGCCATCAAACCAAGAGGGTCCAAGGAGCAAGTTCACTTCCTTACAGTGAGATTAATCAATGATCGATGTTATGGCTTTTTGCATGCCTATTTTCAGCCCACCATCTTGTTTGTACCTTTGAAGTTCTTTTATAGCATTTGAGAAAAGGATTTGTAATTGCTTTGAACATTTCGACAATCTCTGGCAGGGTCTGGCACTGTGCGCTTCAAAAAACAGTTCTCTCAAGACCCCCTACTTGTATAATTTTAGCATTTAATATTTCCTCACAAGCCTTCATTTCTGTTTTAGTTGATGATTCAACTCCGCTCTTTCTACTCGTTTCAGTTTTCCTAGCACTGCCTTTTTTCTCCCGACTCCGTTCTGAGATTTTCACCCATAATCATCTAAGCTAATTCACCAAACTGTCCCAGTCATAACACTTGAGTCATAGAGGCATACAGCAAGGAAACAGGCTTTTCACTAAAACTTGTCCATGCTGACCAGGTTTCCTAAATTGAACTAGTCCAGTTTGCCTCTGCTTGTCCCACATCCTCCTAAACCTTTCCTGTCTGTCTTTTAAATGTTCGAATTGTACACACCTCTACCACTTCTTCTGGCAGCTCGTTCCACATACGCACCACCCCCTGTTTGAAGGAAAAGGAACGACAGGCAAAAGGGAGGCTTTTAAAAGTGTGATATCAAGAGTCCAGGGACATATGTCCCTGTTAGGGTGAATGGAAAGGCTGGCAGGTTTAGGGATCCCTGGCTGACGAGGGATATTGAAGCTCTGGTCAGGAAAAAGGCGGCAGCAGACACTGGGTTTAAGCTATTGGGCTCAAGTGGATCCCTGGATGACTATAAACGGTGTAGGTGCACACTCAAGAGGGAAATTAGAAGAGTAAAATAGGGTATGAGATGGATTTTGCAGCTAAGGTTAAAGATAATCCCAAGAGTTTTTATACCTATATTAAAAGGGTGGCTAGGGAAAGAATAGATGAGCATGGCCATCTATGTGTGGAGCCACATAAGATGGAGAGATTTTTACTGAATATTTCTCTTCAGGTGTTTACTGGTGAGAGAATCATGAATGTTATGGAAGTAAGAGAAACAAGTGGGGACATTTTGGACCAGATACATATTACCAGAGAGGTGGTGTTTGCAGCTTATATCGTATTAAGGTGGATAAATCCCCTGGGCCTGATCAAGTCCATCCTTGGATGTTGTGGGAGGCTAGGGAAGAAACTGCAAAGACCTTTGCAGATATTTTTGCTTCATCTTCAGCCACTGGTGAAGTTCCAGAAGACTGGAGGGTGGCTAATGTTTTTCCATTGTTCAAGAAAGGTAGTAAGATAAGCCAGGGAACTTCAGGCCAGTGAGCCTGACATCAGTGGTAGGCAAATTATTGGAGAGGATACTGAGGGACAGGATCAACCAACATTTGAAGGGTCTAGGCCCGAAACGTCAGCTTTCCTGCTCCTCTGATGCTGCTTGGCCTGCTGTGTTCATCCAGCTCTACACTTTGTTATCTTTTAACTTAGATAGTCAAGGTCTGGTTAGGGATGGTCAGCATGGATTTGTGTGCAGGAAGCCATGTCTGACAAATCTTTTAAGTTTTCTGAAGCGGTAACAAAGATGATAGATCAGGGTAGGGTAGCGGATGTTGTCCGTATGGACTTTAGTAAGGCCTTTGACAAGGTCCTGCATGGCAGACTAGTCACGAAGGTTGGGTTGCATGGGATCCAGGAAGAGCTAGCTAACTGGATTCAAAACTGGTTCCATGGTCGGAAGCAGAGGGTGATGGTTGAAGGTAGTTTCTCAGACTGGAGGTCTGTGACTAGTGGTGTGCCACGGGGTCAGTGCTGGGACCTTTGTTATTTACGTAAATGATCTGGATGTGAATGTACAAGGCATGACTAGTAAGTCTGCGGATGATACAAAATTAGGAGGTACCATTGATAGTGAGGAAGGTTATCAAAAATTACACAGGGATCTTGATCAGATGGGGAAATGCAATTCAATACAGATAAGTGTGAGGTTTGGAAAATCAAACCAAGGTAGGACTTGTACACTAAATGGTAAGGTCCTGAGGAGTATTGTGGAACAGAGGGACCTAAGAGCACAAGTACATAGTTCGTTGAAAGCAGCATCACAGGTAGACAGGGTGGTGAAGCAGGCATCTAGAATGCTGGCTCCATTGGTTGAGACACTGAGTACAGGGGCCGGGATGTTATGTTACAGTTGTATACGTTGGTGGTGAGGCTACACTTGGAGTATTGCGTACAGTTTTGGTCACCCTGTCATAAGAAAGACAGAGTTGAACTGGAAAGTGTGCAAAGAAGGTTTAGAAGGATGTTGCCAGGACTAGTAGGCCTGAGTTTATAGGGAGAGGTTTGGCGAAGATAGGACTTTGTTCATTGGAAGGTAGGGGATTGAGGGTTGACTTTATTGACGTGTATAAAATCATGCGGGGCACAGATAGGATGTGTGCATTTAGTTTTCTTCCCAGGGATGGGGAATTGAAAACTGGAGGGCATAGGTTTAAGGTGAGAGGGGAAAGAATTAAGAAGGACCTGAGGAGAAACTTCTTCATGCAGAAAATGGTGCATATATGGAATGGGCTGCCAGAGAAAAAGTGGTTGAGGCAGGTACAATAGCAACATTTAAAAAACATTTGGATAGGTACATGTAAGGGAAGAGTTTAAAGGGATATGGACTGAATGCGGACGATTAGAACTTGCTGAGTGGGCACCATAGTCAGCATGGACCAGTTTGGGCCAATGGGCCTGTTTCCATCCTGTATTACTGTATGACTATGGAAAAATATGCACCTCAGGTCCCTTTTAAATCATTCCCGTCACTCATCTTAAACCTATGTCCTCTAGTTTTGGACTCCCCTACTCTGGGAAAAAGACGTTGGCTATTCACCTCATCCATACCCCTCATGATTTTATAAACCTCTCTTAGTTCTCCCCTCTCAGCCTCCTATGCTCAAGGGAAAAGAAATCCCAGCCTCTCCGTATAACTCAAACTCTCCAGTCTCGGTAAATCTTTTTTGCACCCTTTCCAGTTTAATAACATTCTTCCGATAGCAGGGGAACCAGAATTGTAGGCAGTAGTCCAAATGCAACCTTATCAGTGTATTGTATGGCTGTAACATAACATCCCGACTCCTGTATTCAATGTTCTGACCAATGAAGGCATGAATGCCAAACACCTTCTTCACCACCCTGTATACCTGTGTGGCCACTTTCAAGGAACTAAATGTACCTGCACCCCTAGGTCTCTCTGTTCACTAACACTCCTCAGGGTCCAACATTAACTGTGTTAGTCCTGCACTGGCTTGTCTTACCAAAATGTAACACCTCGTATTTATTTGAATTAAACTCCACCTGCCATTCCTCGGCCCACTGGCCCAGTTGTTTAATGTCTTCTTGTACTCTTAGACAATCCTCTTCACTGTTCACTACACCACCAATCTCAGTGTCATCCACAAATTTACAAACCATGCCTTCAATATTCTCATCCAAATCATTTACATAAATGAACAACAGTGTATGCAGCATTGATCCTTGAGGCACACCGCTGGGTCACAGGCCTCCAGTCTGAACGACAACCCTCTACCACCATCCTCTGTCTCCTACCGTAATCAGTCCTTGCCTTTCCAAATGCATGTAGATCCTGTCTCTCAGAATCATCTCCAACAACTTACCCATCACTGACGTTAGGTTCACCGGTCTATACTTCCCTGGCTTTTCCTTGGAGCTTGAGTAAGCAAGCACCTACATGTTTACAAGTTCCACACGGTTCAATGAATGATTCATGTCATTAATCCTCTCCGTAAAACAACGCAAATCAACTTTCTATCACTTCATACCTTTTGTTCAGTGTCTCCTGCAAGTCCGTTCACAGTTAAAAATCACAACCTTTCTCTTCAATGGGCCTAGTGATGGCTTCACCTTTATTTATGTATTAATATTTGTGATTTCACCCACCTTTGACCAAATCTGGAAACTGCACATTGTTTGTTTTTCTCCTAGTGCCCATTATGTTTCCTCCCAGAACAATAAAACAATTCTGTATGAAGACCAATTTTTCAAAGACTTCAAAACTTCTCCGGTATCTAGAAAGGTTCTTCTTGCAACATTCTTGTATTTCTGTGCTCAACATCAGCAAGACATCATCCACAGCTCTTGCAACAAACTCCATTCTTTTACCATTGATCCCATCTCATTCCCCGTGAGGGCACCCTCTCAGGCTGAAAGAGCATATGCAAGCAAGGCACCTGATTCAATCCTGTCACCAACTAATCTACTTCTCCCTCTGCACAGCTGCCGATCACCACCCCCACTGTACTAGAATCTCCACCATAATATAACCTATCTAGACCACTCTATCCCTCTGAAACAAGCCTTTGTGGATTCTCCCTCTTATCCACTACCATTGTTAGTCAAAGCGTGCATCTCCTCAAGCTCATTCTATCTTGCTTCTAAAACAATCTGCGACAATATTCGAAAGGTATACCAAAAAGATTACTGGCATTTGTCATCTCTACTTTTGTTTCCATTTTTAAAGCTTCTTTAAACACCTTTAAAAGAAGGTGCTGTATAAAAACAAGTTATTGTCATTGGATAGTTGAGATTTGTTTAGCCTCTATTCTTTGTCTCATTATTCCAATCTTTCTCAATTCAATCATTACTGGAACATGTGAGAATGTGGTTTCATGGTACTCATACACGCTCAGTGCATTGGGTTGTTTGTGGGATCAGCACATGATCAGTTGAACAGCTTTCAATTTGGCCAAACAGGGATGCACTGTAAAGGATGGCCAAGGGTCCATAATTATTGGAAGAGCTTGATAAATGAGTACATCCTCTTGGCTCCTTGTTAACTGAAGTCTGTTTTGACTGACTTTTGGAGGTATTGTAATTTAAGAGTTATATTCATGCAATGTACAAATCAAGGGTAGAACTAGTTTAAGCATATGGAACACATCAGTGCTGTAGTCAGGCTGAATGGTCAAGTTTGGCTCCCTTGTTGCAACAACGAATTGTGAGCTCAATAATAAAGAATCACAAATAGAATTATGTAGTATGATTTGACTTGAAAACTCATGGTCGATTGTGTAACATGAGCTCATTAAAAGAAAGATATGATTCTGCAGCTGTTACAACTGAGGTGTGTTTAAAGTAGCAAAAGAAAACACAACGGGAAAACATCTAGTCAAAGTTTCTGGTTTCCCTTTGCTAAATCAAAATAATGCTTATATAAAATAAAGACACGTTGAGTTTTTGAAGTATGTGTATTTCCCTGGATTTGTAGGGAAATGGATCAACAAGTGTGAAATTGATGCATAAAGGCTGGGATGACAGCAGACAGCATTCCTGGTTTACGCTGAACAATTGTCCTCTTCCCCTGGATAGAATAGGAGGGGAAAATAAAGAGAAGCATTCTATTCCAATCTAATGCCTCCTCTCAGGAAAACATATGTGTAGACAGTAAGCGAAAGGCAGATGTGGGCTTAGTTGTGATGGTTTTCCAAGGCCAGATAACCTGGTAATCTTTTACTGCAGTGCTTCTTGCATTTACAAATGGCCATTTGGGTGAGGTGTACAAGGTGGCTGGTGCACAAGTTGCATTTCTGCACAAGGAATTCACAGGACTGGTAAAGAAAAAGCAATTGAATGAATAGGGCAATACTTGGTTGTGAAAGCCATCCATCAAAGAACTGTTATCCAAATCTACATCATAAAGAAATACAACTTGTCCATTTGTAACTGCTCTTTGCAGGCAAAAGCTGCTGTTTCTTTGGCAGACAAAATGGGACTTCATAGTGAGTCTTTTTCTGAACAAACTGATAACATGAGAATTTTACCAGAATATATGGTTACCAATAATAATCACAGGATCTGCCTGGAATCCCAGTCGAAGAACTGTGCATTTGGGAAAAACTTAACTATGAAATCACAATACATCGTTATTAGACACAACAAAAAGCAGAAAGAAGAGATGGCAGTACTTTCGTAGGGCAAAGTTGCATGTTTGCAAACTTCATTTCTGAAGGTCAAAGAAGGTATCTAAATTAGAAAAAAACATGGTTTACTGGATTTTTGTTACTACTGACCCAAAGATTATCTCTGGTTTCAATAAAAAATGCAGATTAAGAAACTGACAATTAATGAAGTATTTAATGAACAGAAACAACACAAAGTACAACAGAGCAATAAATGTCTTTTTTAAAAATTCCTTTAAAGGACAGATTCAAGCATTCCTTGAAATGTGTGTTATAATTACTATATCTTTCAACAGATGTTGCTTAAGTATTGCTACAGAATGCCTGGCATTGGTATTGGCCAAGACTACAATGCATTTTTTATTGTCACTGGAATTGTTGAAGTGTATTCTTCAGCTGACCATTACCTCGCTGAAGAGCACTGGACAGGTGAGATTCCTTTCACCGAGTTATAAATGAGTTGAAATACAGTAGAATACAAGTTTCTTTCTTCAAAGTCACAGGGTGGTAGCAGGCAGATAAAAGCAAACATAAACACAACAAAATTTAATACAGAATGACTCCCTTTGCATTCCAGGGGAACACTAAAGAATTTAGAACATTAATTAATTAACAATCCTATACATGTTCGCATGAAGGACTTCTGTGTGTTTTATATCAAGGTTAAACTAGTTTAAAACTGAAAACCAATTCCCTTTTCTTTTTAAAGAGAATCAATTATCTATGAATCACAAATTGCACAATTAATGAATATAGCCCCATCTAGTAACCTAACTCAACTAATAATTTCAGTTAGTATTTTACAAACTGTCTGGTCCTATCTGCAATCATGCAGCATAAGCCATGCTAGCTTCCCACCAGAAAGCAAAGGGTTTCAAACAAAACACCAACGGCAGGGTTAGTTGCAAGAATGGCAGCACTCACAGAGGACGAGCAGGGTTGGGCCACTTTGGGAGCGTGTGGTGGAGAATCAGTCATCTTCATGAGGACTGGCATTTCGTCATCTGACACACAGTTGGCAGGCTTGTCCTTGGCAATGGTGGCCTGCTTGCTGGGCTCAGCAGGCTGAAGCTTTACAGGCACAGAGACAGGCATGATGATGGGCATGAGGTTATCCACCTCTTTAGGCTGCTTCTCTCCTTCATCCTGTACAGACAACCAAAGGCTTTCAGCCTCAGTTACAGAGGGGTCCAAGCAAAGCAACACACCTGAGATAGGTCAGATAGGATCTAGAAGGTTACTAAAGTGATACCTCCTTGTTTCTCAGTATTGTTGTACATTAAGTGAATCTTTAAAAACAAAATTCAAAATGCTGTCATACAAACATATATGGAAGTCAAAGACCCAATGTACTTGGCAGGATTGGCTTCGTTTCTGTGGAGATCACTTACTTTCAATTGTCAATATGCACTTTATTGGGTTCTGACATAATTACAGATAAATAAGTTCAATTTTCAACAAGTCAATAGTTTATGTAAAAAAAAAATGCAAAGTTTAAACAAACTGTACTCACATATCACAGGTTGTGTAAATATATTATCCAAATACGTCAACCAAACACAAGATGGTTGCTCCAGTAATATTACACCACATTAATGTGCTACAGGGAATTCTGAAAATTTAATGTACTGAAGCTTCTCCCCACTTAAAGTGGCCTATTAGCTTTCATTCCAGTTCACCCTGGTATGCATTGAAGGGGTCTCCTTGCCTCCTGCTGTAGCGCAAGTTATCACTGTTCTCCAAAAGGATTTGGCCCCTTCCTCACCACTATTTCAATCTCCTGTTCACCGTCTTCTCCATCCAATAGAATGACGGTCAGCAAAACTCCGACCAATGTCTTGTTGTGAATGGAAGATCTTACCCGCCACTTACTACACAGGAAATCTGTGCACATTTTGCATGCAGCAACCATGAGTATTTCTGTTATTTCTATGAATGCTGTGGCTGTTGAAGAAATATCAAGAAGAGCAGGGCAAGGTAGCTCAGTCCTATTGAGCTTTGTCAAAAAAAAATGCAAATGCTGTCTAAGTTCCCAAAACATAATCACCATGAAATGCCAAAAGATGGCATGCATGAGACAATTACATAACCGACACAAGAAATATTCGCAAGGTTGACAGGATAAAGAAACAATGGATACATTCAGCAGCAAAGACTGCATTGTGTTTAATGAGCCATTAAGGCATGGCTTATCATATTATATGAATCATTTAAATATACTTAAGATACAACAGTAAACTATTTAATAAAAATAACTCATTTGGTTAAGTCAATGGAAAGTAATATGAAGTACCCACTAATGATTAATTCAGCTAAGAATAAAACAAAGTCCAAAATTCTACATCAATTGAGCAGTCCCAATTCAGTTTACTTTAGGAGCTGGCAAACACATGAAGGAGACTGTTCTTACTTCTTACAACTTGGGTAACACCAGCAAAGTTATATTTTTTGCTATGGAAGCAAAGAATATACAACTAAATGGCTATTTGACCAGTTGTACTCTTGGATGCTTTATGCATCAACAATTTGGCTGGTCATTCCCCGAAACTTTCTGGCAACCTTGTAATTTCTTTTCCCTTAAGGTGTTTATCCAATTCCCTTCTGAAAGTCACGATAGGTGCTGCCCCCACAACCCTTTCAGGTACTTTCTCATTACCACTTGCTGGTCAAGACAAAAATATCATATTTTCCTTTTGGGTCTTATTCCCAATTTAAATCTGCACTCTGGTTTGTCACCCTTCTGCCAATGGGGAGAGTTTGTCACTATACGCTGTCCAGATCCCTCATGCTTTTGAACGCCTCCACCAAATCTCTACACTATCCCTAGCTTCGCTTCTGAAGTCGTTCATCCTTGGAACCATTCTCATAATTCTTTCCAGCCTCTCTATGAAACCTTTATTTCCTTCTGAAAGTGCAGCGCTCAGAACTGAACACAATATTCCAGGGGAGGCTCAACTAGTATTTTATAAAGGTTTACCATAACTTCCTTGCTTTTGGACTCTACAATGACCATGTAAGAAGGCCTAGACTTTAACCACTTTCTCAACTTGCCTGACCACCGATGATTTATGCACATATACCCCCAGGTCTCGCCCCATTCTTGGTCCTGCTTTAAAAGCACACCCTTTAACTTATGCTGCCTCTCGTGGCTCTTCCTACCAAAATGTATTATTTCACAATGCTCTCCATCAAATTTCAACGGCTGAGTATTCTCCAATTCAACTAGTTACCTCCTCTTTATATCTGTCATTATGTTCCTTCCATTGTATTATACTTCCAAGTTTTGTTCATAGCAATTTTTAAAAAATATTATGCCTGCATGCTGTACTATTGGTCATTAATACTTGTCCTGAAAAGCAACAGCCCTAGTGCTGACCACTGGGAATTGTCACCGTACATCTTCTCCAAACCGGAAAACGAATGCTAACTACTGCTGTTTCCTGTCACTCGTACAGATTCAAGATCACGCTACCACGGTCCTTTTTATTACTTGGACTTCAATTTTTCTGGCAAGATTATTATGTGGCACTTTGTCAAATTTCCTTTGGAAATCCATTTGTACATCAACCATTAGTACCATCTATTACCTTATCAAAAAAATTTCAAACCACTTGCTGATCTGTGAAGTAATATCCGTGATGGTAAAACCAGCTACACGGTTTGTTCAGGCTCAAAAACATATACCTGAAATTCAAAAAATGGTCTGCACAAATGTAGAAAATTAAAATGGTCTTTTTTAAGACCATCCTGTAATTTCTCAAAAGAACCTAACAAGCCTACGATCGCATTGTCAAATCTGCAAGCAAGAACTAACGATCCCAAATGTGAGAGATTTAAATCACTGGGGTTATCAACTATCCAACATTAGCAGCTGCATGTAACACCACATGGTGAGAACAGAGATGGTTGATAGGTAATTAATCATACCTAGTGGTAGCACTACTGAAAGGGACCACAATGATTTTATTCATGTAATGTATGTGATATTAACCATCTTCCACATTCTGTATTTTGTTGGAGACATTATTCTCCTTTGTGACTTGGCAGTAGTATTCGTCAGTAGTTTTGTTGTTGTATTTTGCAGAGCTTTTTACTATGGACACAGATGGTTTGGAGCAAGTTCTCCCCCCTATGCAACTCACTGATTGGCATACTGGTATAAAAATACACCCTTTTAAGACTATGCTGGGCTCTAGCATTTCAGTGGAAGCTTAGAGAAAAGGTTTGGTTTTGGATTCCCAAACATTTTATTGAACAATGATACTAAGTACTGCCATCTTAATCCTATGTCAAATCCACAATGCAAAGGCCAGTTTGCACCGAGTAATGAAATAGAGTTGACAAAATTATCAGCTATTACTACTGTTCTTTCGCTGGATCTGTGTTACGAAAAAGATTACACATTCCAATATTTCACAATGCAGTTAAATATTACTTTAATGATAACAAATCACATTAGACATACGTGGTCTGCAGTCAATTATAGAACTGAAAAAATTCATACCCATAGATTTTATTTAAACCTCCACCCGAAGATTGATGAAATGGCTGATACTTTTGTTATAAAAAGCTTTCCTTGACAAGTCATTGAACACAATTTCAATAAATAATGACAATAAGGTTCTCCAATAAATCTAAGTGTTTTGTTTTGAATATGTCAATTTAAGTGATAAATGCACTAACGTTTACATTATTAATCTTGTGTGCTTACAACTGATATCAGTCTTGCACAAAGTAGTTTTTGCCTCTACTCAGAGGAGGTTTCAGTTGCCCCAATGATGGAATTCTCTCCTGTCTCACACAACATTCTTTCTTGCAGTCCAGTCCCTTAACTTCCACTAAAAACAAGGCTTTCAGACAAGAGCAATGTTACCAATTCATTTCACCACTGGGCAGTTCTGCAGAGACAGAATTTCTAAGCTACTGATGTGGAGCTTGTGGGCATATCTCCGTATCCGACAACTTCTCACTAGATATCTGTCAGCTTATGCTTGGAAGTAAGTATGGATGAGAAGATCACAGGTTCATAACAAAAACCAACTTGTCGCTTCAGGCTACAAGAGCCAATTATAAAAGGGACAAGGTTTCCTAGACCTGGCCGACATCCAGCGATCTCTGAAGATAGAAGATGTCCATAGACCCTAAGACTAAAACCAGAATCTGGTTCAGTCATGACAGTCGCCAGTGCTGGTTAACTAAATGCAAAGAAGACAAATCTAACCATTGAGAGAGATAAGATTCATTTCAGAGGAGACATCTGATTCAATTTTTCCACAGACTGCTCACCCTTTTTACCAATAATTTCTTTAAGTTAATCTTATTGAAAACACAGCAGAGCGAGCAGCAAGCTATCCTTTTAAACACTGGAGTATCAGGACATATTTTTGATGGTCATTACAAATTTTTAATATCATTCACATGCTTACTGACCTGTTTGGGAGATGTCCTCTGGCCACCATGAGACCTCATGTGGCCATTAAGGGCAGGTAAACTCTTGAACTCTTTGTGGCACATTGTACACGTCAACCTGTTCTTGATGTCTGTCCTTTCCTGGAACGGAAGCCGATTTTGGCCACTGTTTGGAGACAAAGTAGCATCCATCAACAACTTTACCTGGCCACAAGTAGTACCAAGTGTCACAGTGGTCACTAAAATTTTATTTTAGCATGGAACAAAATTTATTTTGCCATTTTTTACACTGTAGGGATTCTATGATCTATGATTTTGAGCTAGCCAATTTTGTGACCAGATAACTTATCACATATTCAAACAGTGTAAGAACAAAAAGTTTAATTTTATCGTCCTTGCTGGTAATATTTCAGAACATTGCAAATAAACTCGATTAGTTACTTGCTTGAGGCAAATCGTTAACATGCAACATTTAGGCCTTTACTTGTGTCTGTGCAGCCAATAAACAGCTCTGTAAAAGAAAACACTTGCAAGATATATGGCAAATTTCTGCCCAAAAGAACTGTGGATCAAATTTTCATTGTCACGCCTTACCTGCAAATTTCTTACAGCAGAATGGCTCAGATTTCATATTTCTAAGGCTGAGATAGGATCAGGAATCAGAAGCAGTGCAGCTGGTAAAAATTACCAATGAGAAACACCCAGCATCACATGAAAACAACAAACTGAACGTGGACAAAGTGGAAAATTCTTCAACTTTTTCTGATTTTATCACTGCTGGGTAAAACTGATTATTATACAAAGGAATTTGTTCATATTATTTTACATGTATACCAAAAAAGAACTGCAATATTTCAAATTCTTTAGTTAAATGTTCACTGCAGTTGGTTCAATTTGTTGTCCTGAACACCCAAAAATATAAAACATAGCCATCTTTAGAAGAACGATGTTGTTTAAATTTAAAAAGAAGTTCTGAATAGAAATCGTGACTTAGGGAAACAAAAAGATTCTTAAAAAATCTCTTCCTATTCCTTTCCTTGAAGAAATATTTGGTAACAATGCAAAAAATCTTAGGATTGAGCTGGGTTTTATACATTAGTCTTCATTATAAAGTTGTCCAGTATCCTCTGAAGGGCTACTTTAAAATATTACACTCAGAATTCTTTACTTAATTGTGTATTTTGATACTTACCAGCTTCAGTGAGTAAGGGAAGCTCTACGTTTCAGGAGCAAAGTCAGCTATCACTCTTTACGGGGAGATCATATAGGAAAGTTTTTCAAAAACCTCTATCACAGGGGACTTACATCTTCATCATCACAACATCACCCCAGCAATTCAAACCTTTGCAAGCATAAGCTCCATCACTGCAAGCAACCGTTCTGAAGTTCTGTTAGCAACTGAGAGCTTAAAATAAAATTGGACAAATAGTAGAAACTTCTCCTACAGGAACAGAAGCTCTATGATGAATACACTTTCTTCAACACTTTCTTCAACAGTTTCTTCTGTACAGACGCACAGATGCAGATTCTAAATGAAGTGCTACAACGGGGTGGGCTAACTGCAACAAGTAAAAACGCAAAAGGTGAAAAATCTTGGTTGGGGGACAGCAATGAAGACAGCGTCATAGAGACATACAGGAGGGAAACAGAACCTTCGGTCTAATGCATCCATGCCGACCAGATATCCTAAGTATATCTAGTCCCATTTGCCAGCATTAGGCTCATATCTCTCCAAACCCTTCCTGTTCATATACCCATCCAGATGCCTTTTAAATGTCATATTTTACCATCGTCCACCACTTCCTCTGGCAGCTCATTCCATACACGCACCATCCTCTGCATGAAAAAGTTGCCCCTTCGGTCCCTTTTAAATCTTTCTCCTTTAACCTTAAACCGATGCCCTCTAGTTCTGGACTCCCCCATCCTGAGGAAAAAACCTTGTCTATTTAGTCTATCCATGTGCCTCATGATTTTATATACCTCTATAAGGTCACCCCTTAGCCTCCGACGCTCCAGGGAAAATAGTTCCAGTCTATTCAGCCTCTCCCTAATGCTGAAACCCTCCAGCCCTGGCAACATCCTTGTAAATCTTTTCTGAACCCTTTCAAGCTTCACAACATCCTTCCTATAGCAGGGAGACCAGAATTGCATGTAGTATTCCAAAAGTGGCCTAACCAATATCCTGCAAAGTTGCAACATGACTTCCCAACTCCTATACTCAATGCACTAACCAATAAAGGCAAGCATACCAAAAGCCTTCTTCACTATCCTATTGATCTGCGACTCTACTTTTAAGGAACTATGACCTGCACTCCAAGATCTCTTTGTTCAGCAACACTCATCAGGAACTTACCACTAAGTGTATAAGTCCTGCCCTGATTTGCCTTTCCAAAATGCAGTGCCTCACATTTATCTAAATTAAACTCCATCTGCCATTTCACTACCCATTGACTCATCTGATCAAGATCCTGTTGTACTCCAAGGTAACCTTCTTTGTTGTCTAATTTTGGTGTCATCTGCAAACTTACTAACCATACCTCCTACGTTCACGTACAAATCATTTATATAAATGACGAAAAGCAATGGTGTATTATTATTAAAGTAGTTCTTGGAACAAAGTATTTAGGGGTGCATTTCCTCTTCGACATCTTCTGATTTAATCAAATCATATTACTTAAAATGCAGAATTTGCTTTTCTACAAGAGATTCTTAGAGTGAAGCCTTCACCTGTGGCATTTAGGAGATCAGTGAGCATCAGGATAACATGGTTCACCATTTCAGTTTAACTTAAAGCTTCACCATTAATTCAACTGGAATGTATATTTAATAGCAGTACAATTATAACAGCAAACAGGCCTAAAGGCTGCAACAACTTGAAGCTTACATAACTGTAAAATACCTTGGCCCATAACAGCATTTAACTGGGAGTACAGGAATGAAATGACCCTGTATACTTGCAGTAGGCAGGGCTATTATAGAAATTATTTTCCCAGTTCCTGCTCAGAACCAGGCCAGGGAAAGGTTAAACCTTAAAAAAAAAACTGGGTTCACATTGAAAGCTCATCTGCTAACAGACCACAAAGTATCAGATGCCATGGTATGAACACATGTTTTTCTGTTGTTATAATGGTAGCATTTGGGAGCATAAAATTAGAGATATAAAACATGCATCCCAGATTATAACAATCCCATGTGCTCCCCTACTTTAGTAAGCATTAATTGCGCGTACACTTGTCAGTTTAAGTAAACTAATCTATTTAAATATATTACAATTGAATCAGGTTAGCATAATGGTCACTAACAACAAACCACAGCTCAAGGGCACAATAAGCAGTTCATCCATCTTGACAGCAGGATGTGTAAAATCCTTTTTATAGTGAATTAATTGCCTAATCCAATTATAATTAACTACAAATCTCTAACTCCTATAAAAGGCACAGAGTGGCACGGTGTTGAGAAATTGAAGCCAATCCCACCCACTTAGCATGAAGAGGGGGGAAAATAAAAACTAGATTGGAGACAGGGCAGTGTTGAGAATGTTACAGTTTCTGAGGAATGATGGTTTTTCATTTTCAGTACAAAACTTGATTTCACAAAGTTTTATGAAACTCATGAAATGACAAAATGAAGTACAAAGCTATGCGAATGCCTCGGTTAAGGTACCTTTCTCTTGTAGTTTATAAGCAAAGATAATACGCTTTTTCTTGGTTTTGCATATTTCATGTGACATCACTTAATTGCTACATCTGAACGACTGAATATGCCAGATATAACAAACACCCCAGTTTGAGATTCCAAGGGAGTTTCAAAAACTAAAGAGTTTTCTGTTGCTTTAATAGAATGTCTTCCTAAATAGCTACTAATCATGATAAAATAGTTCAATACCTGAGTTCAACAGTTGACTCCACTGGCTTGACATCAGTCAGAGAAATCTGGAAGAGAAATCTGCAGTAAATCTTTCCAATGTTCTGATTCAGCAAATTGAATTCCAAACAGCACAAGATTCTTAGCTTTAGGCAAGAAATTGCGCACTACATTAAATATGTTATTTTACTAAAGAGGAAACAAATGTGATCTACAACTAATTTTCCACAAGTGGTATGTGGTCTTCATTTCAAAACTGACTCATCTTTTGTGTGGGCACTTTCCCAAAATCTTGACGAAGGAAAGAAGAATGTACTTGACAAGTATCCACTTTTAGTCTAGCTCTACTCCTTCAGAAGCTATGATAATCCAGTTATCTGACTTAAACAAAGACCTCAACAATTTCATGGGCTACTGCTTGCTACAAAAGAAACAGTACTGCAAGCAGTGAGGGACATACAAAGCTCTCCTCAATCTTTGAACAGTTTATCAACTCAATTTGGGGTAGCTGGTCGGCTATAAATAGTCTTAGAACTTCTGGAACACAGGAATCAGAAAGCGTGTTCACTCGTGATTTCTAACCGGTGGTCCAACCAGAAAATGGATGTTCAGCAAAATCTGCAGACACAGAGACAGGATAGGATGGCTCCTTCCCATTACCGTCACCCAACCTCCGCTCACACAGTAAAATTGACTAACATTTATGGATTTATCTATCAAGATTGGACAGGGTGTTGGATTTGTACCATATCATATGCCAGTGCTTTCAAAGGGCAAGGGACCAAACTGAAAATATTCTCCCTTAGGAGGAGAAACAGTTAATTGGGTAGTATCCTAAAACGGTTATCGCTGCCAGGACTGGTGCTGGAATTTCCATTATGGGGATCTGTCTATTAACAGTCATTTCATCCTCTCAGACCCATTGGGCTGAATATCCCAGTTCTGCTCTTAAGGTCTGGTTGTGGGAGGTCAGGCAAGCGTGAAAGTGACAGAGAGCAAATATTGATGCAGGTATAGAGACAAATAAGAGACACATAAAAGATATAGAAATTGAAATAGAAACACTGATATAACTAAATAGTTAAAAATATTTCATCATCTGCAGTTGTGTAAACAAAAATTCCAAATCAGAATCAACTGTTTGAGCCAGTGAATTGCATAGCATCTTTAGTTATTATGAACAGAGTGAGACTGACAAACTGTGGGAACAAAAGTTGAAAGCACAACGACAGGGCTTTCCCTCCCAAACAATACAACTTGCCATCTATTCTCCTGAATGTTCATCTAATTGGCAGCATTAATGTCAGCATTTTCAGTCCTGGACTGGGTTGTGCAAAATCAAAAAACAGTCAAAACCCGTTACCAAACAATCATCTAATTGATACAACAGGTCATCATTCATTGAGCTGGTAACTTTCAGATGATTACTAAGTTGTCACTTAATATCAGAGATCTCCTACAATGCCTGAAGTTCAGTATAATTCTAGCTATGGATCCTTCCTTTGTCAATAGCATATACCAAGGCAAAAATGACAGGCACAGAGATACAGTCTCACTGTAGTAACTCTAACAAAACAAAGTAACAGTGCCAAGTAAAAATTAAACGAAGTTATTGGAGAATACATGGAATTCATCACATCTGCAACATTTAGATGAAGTTGCCTGCTCAGATCTAAAGGAATGGCACCAATTTCTCACCATTTGTGTCTGCATGGTCCCTTTCACACACACTCAAATGTTTCAACAATACATTTTGATCTAATATCTTCTCATGGAGGGCTAGAATGCGAGAATTCACTAATTCCCAGTCAATTAAGAGTTGAGCTCTGTAATTTTGATTTTTGTCTCAACATTTTTCTTTATCCTTCACTTTTTAAGTTCAGGTTTAGCTCATCCAAGTCTGCCCTGGATCCATTGTAATTCTGAAATATATTAACATACATTATAATAGAAAATGATAAAGATAATTCTTTTATCCTGGGTGATGGCTGGACCAAAAGTAATAATAAAGATGTATTAGAATAAGTTAGAGAAGGTAAAAGTGAAATCACGATGTGTGCAGAGTAGAGATGGCCAACACAAATGATGTGCTCATTTCTCAATGCTTGGAAAAGAAAGTCATTTTCATTTTGAGCTGTATAGCAAGGAAACAAACCCTTCAGTCCAACTCGTCCATGGTGATTTTTATGTTTGGATCAATCACCATTACTTTAGCCTGCATATTCGTTGATAATCCTCCAGAATGTGAGCAACAACTCTGAAAGAGAATTAGATCTCTATTCATCACTAACAGAGATAAGAGAGGCTCCAGTTCTGGGGAGAGGAATCCAAAAGAACCATTAATTTCTCAACATAAACATTTTAAACATTGACCAATGTTGCACTGCTACCTATAATACCATCATGATAATTTTTTCGATAAAAATGGTGGGTTTCACATTATACAGCTCAGGATGTTCTTTGTCCAGGAACTTTGAATACAGAAGTTAATTGTTCACAGAATAAATTTAGTTAACCAGTAACATCGGCCTTTCTGGTCTTGACAGTGATCGTTTCAACAATCTGAAGATATGGAAGGTTTGAGATATAAAGATAGCCTGGAAAGACTTTTTTCACTGCAGCTTAGGAGGTTAAGGAGTAACGTTATTGAGGTTTACAAAATCATGAGGGGCACAGTTAAGGTGAATGACAAGAGTCTTTTCCCTAGGGTGGGGTATTTCAAAACTAGGAGGCATATTTTTAAGGTGAGAGGAGAAAGATTTAGAAAGGACATGAGGAGCAACTTTTTAAACACAGAGACTGCTTTTTGTGTGGAACGAACTGCCAAGGAAGTGGTGGATGCAGGTACAATTACAACGTTTAAAAGACATTTGGATAAATTCATGAAAAGGAAAGGTTTGGAGGGATATGGGCCAAGTGCAGGCAGGTGGGAGTAGTTTAGTTTGGGAACATGGTCAACATGCACTAGTTGGACTGAAGGGTCTGTTTCTATGCAGTATGACCCTATGGCTCTATAGAATTAGCTACTGGATAGACTACTTCAGAATAAATTACTCTAAACTGCCAAATCACAATCCACCCTCACATTAAGGTGATGTAGGAATTGTATCGTTTATATTGCTTTGTGTACACCAAGTGATTGCTGAACTTTTAATTTTACTTGCATCTTCATACTTAATATTATAAAGAGACTTTGAAGATCTACTTCAGGGTTTCACTTCACGGAATCGTTACAACACAGAATGAGACCATTTAGTCCATCGTGCCTACATTGATCTATTATCGATAGCCAATCTCCTGACTCTCTCCCATGTCCCCCCACACCATTACTAACAAAATAATCTCAATTCAACCTGCATCCGCAATTTTTCCAGGCAATACATTCCATACCCTAACAATTTGCTGTGCAAAAAAGCTCGCACTCACATCACCCTGACCTCATTTCATCTGGTGGACCCTTGTCACCAGGTTCCTAATTAGTCTGTGAAAATTTTTTGAAGTCATTGTTAATGTTTCCAGATCAGAAGCTTCTATTTGTTATTGAAGAAATACTGAATGAACTTCAGCTAGGTCTGTCAAGAATTCAATAGCTGTGTTCTTAAAAATGGCATCACTTACCTCAGCAATGTGTCTGAAAACATTTTAGTAATGGTAAGAAAAAAATGCTTTCAAGAACAATCAGACGGTTGACATTCAAATGAAATGACCTAGGTACAAAGAGACCATGGCCTTGTTGTTGAGATCCAGACAATTTGATCATCTGCTGTTACTATGTCCCTCCCTTCTATGAAACTGCTTGGCTAAACATTGCCAAAGGTCCCTTCTATGCTAGACTGGAACTTGTCTCTCTGTCTAATTTCACTCATTACTCCTTGTGCCATCTCCAATCCAGACCAAGAAGCCCACCTCCTGCCCCCTCAGTCCTCTCTCTAACAAACTGTTAATGATCTAGCTTCCCATCTTGGTCCCCCATGTTAGCCAATATTGGTTCTTGCTATTCAGGTATTGCCTCTTTCTCTTCAATAAATTGCCTCGACTCCACAGTTCTTGCCGACTATATTCTCATTTCCATCGTCCATTTCCTCTCTCAAGGCTCCCAATTCACTATCTTTCTTTCCTGCAATCCTCTTTGAATTCCTTGAATCAGATTTCCACCCCTACCATATTACTGAAACTACTTAGCTAAATCCACAGGCAACCCTGTATGTGACTGAGACAAAAGGAAAACTTTCCTTCCTGATCCTTCTCAACCTGTCTGCAGCCATTGTAAGGGCCAACCACAGCATCCTCCCATAAGCCACTCCGTGCTGGCCAGCTATGTGAGACTGCGCTCACCAGTTCCATTCTTATCTTTCTAATCATAGCTAAAACATCATTTGTATTGCCTTCTCCGCCTGTCCCCATGCTGCTACAGCTGGCATCACCCAGAACCTCTCCTTGATCCATTCCTATGTTGTTACATAATGCTGCCCTGTGGCACCATCCAAAAGCAAAACACTTGTTTTCATTCACACACTCCTGACACCCAGCTTGCTCTCACCATTATCTCTATCAAATTCTCCATTGTTGCTAAATTATCAGATCACTTATTTGGTATCCAGAAACTTCCTTCAATCCTGAGAAGACTGAAGCCAAGGCTTTTTAGTCCTCAATCCAAACATCATTCCCAAGCTATGGACTCCATGCAGGACCTAAGAAACAGACCAAAATGAAACTGTCTGTATCCAAATTTGATGACATATTTGAGCAGGGATATCCTTCCAATGTCATGCTTGCACCAGTTAAGACCATCTATTTCCAGCTCTGTAAAATAATCTGACTTCAACTTCTCAGGCCATCTGCCGCTAAAACGTTCAGTCATACTTTTGTTACTTGAACATCTGGCTCCTCCAATGCACCCCTGGTCGATCAGCCTCTGTAAACTTGAGGCCATCCAAGTTTCTGCTGTTGGTTTCAACTTGTACCACAATCTTTTCCCCTGTCATTGCTGTGCTCCTTTGGTGCTTGGTGATAAAACATCTGGATTTGGAAATATTCATCCTTATTTTCAAATCCTTCCATGGTCTTG